AAGTCGAAACTTCGATTACCTTTTGTGCAAATATTGGAGCAGATTTTTCCATCAAACTCATTTTGCTGATGTACCTTTTGATGGCCGACCAGAAAATGGTCTTATTTGGAGAAATAACATTTTCACTTTCTGGAAAACAGATCAAGTTCAATTTTCACTTAAACCGATCACGTTCTGCGATCCCAAAAGTTAGCGAGCTTAAACTTACTTTTTGTGTGTGAAAAGTGTTGGTACACATCATAGTTTGAATAATTTTTTCTAGATCCCAACAGTTCTTTTGATTTTGGACATTAACCCAAAAACTTTGAGCGTCGATATTTCGAGAATGGCATCACAAACAATCGTCATTCTTGTACAAATTTAATTCTTCACTAATTTCTAATGCAATACAATGCAACAACTTTCAATTAGTTGACTTTGGACATGATATTTGGACTGTATATGTGCGAGAAACAGCTTATAAAAATAGTGCTACTAAAAGCTCGAACATTTGAGTTATAAGCTAAAACTTTGCAGGGTTTGCAGGCAAATAAAAACTGAACCCATTGGTACTATTTAATAATGCGTTCGATTGACAGTTTTCGAGGAAATCGAGGTCGAATTTGAAACTTCGATTAGCTTTTGTACGCTTATGAAGGCAGATTTTTTAATGAAACTCATTTTATAGGGTTTAATTTTGATGGCCAACCAGAAAATGGTTTTATTGTGAGAAATAACATTTTCGTTTTTTCGTTTAGCAGATAAGTTCGATTTTCATTCAAATGGACTTTTTTTGATAACCGTGATAGTTAGAGATCTGAAACCCGGTAATCTTCAATAGCAATGATTTGTTCATATCATGGATTGAATATTTTTTTCAACGCACCAACAGTTCTCTTGATTTGTGCCATTGGCCTCAAAACTTTGACCCTCAATATTCCGGGTTTGGTAGCACTTAAAATCGGGGTTCTTTCATCAAAAGGTAGATTTCTTTATGAGCTATAACAGCATATGACCAAATACTGAATTAAATCTGAGCTAATTCATTTATTAATGAAGGTCTTACTGATGTATAAGATTTGTGTTCAATTTTATAAATCAAGTCTCAAACTGATAACATAAGCTATACAATGCTATAACTTTATGCAGTGCAATCTTTAATGATTTAATATTTCAAACTTTTATTGTCCATAATGGAATCTACCATTTGATTAAAGAATGCTGATTGTAGGTGCTATCAAACCCGAAATATTGAGGGTCAAAGTTTATAGACTAATGGTGAAAATTAGGAGAACTGTTGATGCATTGAAAAAAATATTCAAATCATGATGTGAACAAATCATTGCTATTGAAGATTACCGGGTTTCAGATCTTAAACTATCACGGTTATCAAAAAAAGTCGATTTGAATGAAAATCGAACTTATCTGCTAAACGAAAAAACGAAAATGTTATTTCTCACAATAAAACCATTTTCTGGTTGGCCATCAAAATTAACTACATTAGAATGAGTTTCATGAAAAAATCTGCTTTCATAAGCGTACAAAAGGCGATCGAAGTTTCAACTTCGACCGTGATTTTCTCGAAAACTGTCCATTGAATGCATTATTAAAAAGTACCAATGGGCTCAGTTTTTATTAGCCTACAAACCCTGCAAAGTTTCAACTCATAACCAAAATGTTCGAGCTTTTGGCAGCACTCTTTTTATTTCATTTGTAAGTTTAACCAGAAAATTGGTTTATTTACCAAGATATGCATTAATTTTAGTTTAGTTTAGTTGCTTAAACAGAAACAGTTTAGTTGCTTGAATAAGCTGTTTCTCGCACATAAACAGTCCAAATATCAAGCCCAAAGTCAACTAATTGAAAGTTGTTGCATTGTATCGCATTAGTAATTAGTAAAGAATTGAATTTGTACAAGAATGACGATTGTTTGTGATGCCATTCTCGAAATATCGACGCTCAAAGTTTTTGGGTTAATGTCCAAAATCAAAAGAACTGTTTGCATCTTGAAGAAATTATTATGCGATTTTATATTAATGATGAAGTAAATTGTTGAAAGCGGTCAAACTAAATTTTCATTATTAATATCTCAATAGCAAATACAATGGTGATTTGGCGTGTTGAATAGTTTAATGAGTCGATAGTTGAATGAGCTTGATTGATCTAAAAGACTAATAGGCAAAGTTGAATTAAACCTTGATTCTCATTTTCTGTATGCTTGGACATTTATCATGCAATTTGTTGCCCAAAATGGCGATATTAATTTTCTTGGGAAACCTTTGTTATTGCCATCTTGAAAGGCAAATTATTTAAAGTTGATTCGCTATTATTTATTTGATTCTCGTTAAAAGTTGAAAGCTTGAGATTGCCAGTTGAACTGTCAGTTTGCTATTACTTGAAATGAAAATGGGAAAAAAGTTGCAAAATTGAGGCAAAATTATAATAATAATAAAAGACACATTTTACTTTTATTTAATAAAAATTCAACTTGAAACATTTACCCAAGCAAGTCTGAAGTTGCAATGAAACTGAGAAAAAAAAGTCTCAATCAAATTACACTTTGGTCTAATCATTTGTCAAATTGGACTGAATTTTTGTTCACTAAATATCATGTTTATCCAGGAAAAAAAGAAGGCAGCCAAAAATGTGAAAATAAAAATACATTAGAAGAGGATTCCAGTGTAAAGTTGATTGAAATGATTTCAATTATGTTGAGAGGAAAAGAAAAACAAAATGAAAGAATTGGGTAAAATATTGAGAAAACTATTCTTTAACTTATTCCTGAGTTATCTGTTTTCACCACAAATATTTCAATATGTCACCTTATATCTTGAATTACCTTTTATTTGAAAGCTTTTCCAACCAAAACAAGTGAAATGGTTAAAACATTTTCAGCCTGTGAATATAAACATAAAATATCAAAGGCAAATTTCCTGACGAATTTCAATTTACCATTTCAACCATTTTCTGAATTCACTCAGAAAAGGAATTGAATTCATATAACAATAACAGGAATAATGGCGAATAGCACTTGAACATTTCAAGTCGCTTTTTAGTCAATAATCATTGATATATCAACATTAATGATTTGGGTTTTCATGTAACTCTGGTTTTCTGGTTCTGTTACATTTTGGAAGCTAATTTTTGCTTGCAATCACTTCAACTGTTAATTGCTTTTGTTCACTGAATTTATTGTATTTAAATGGGTTTCTTGTGTTGATCAGCAAGGTGAACAATTGAATGAAATAAGATTAAATATATTATTTTGAACTTGCAGTTGAAGCATTTCTCTGGAGGCAAACTGAATTGATTCACAATTTAAATTGTTCAACTTGTCTCTTCTCTCAGTAATCAATAGACTTTATTGTTTCCATTATTATTACAGTTTTTTTTGCTTCATTTTTATTCTCAACGAGAATTAATTTGCATTAATTTAATTGTGTAATTGTGTTCAACTACAAACAAAATTATGTTGAAAATGTTGTACAAAAAAAGCAAGATTAAAGGTAAAACTTTGTTAAACCAATTTCATGCTGAAAATGCTTTAAGGCTTAAGCATTTTCCTTGAATTCATTATTATTATCATTAACTGTTTCATTTCAATGTTCACAGTAATCCATGTTAATTGTCAGTTGACTTTTCATTTCTTTCATTATTTCAATTTTGTTCAACATTCGTCATGATGGCTTTTGGTGAACAAATTTCAATCAATTCAACCTTTCCTCAAGTTATCATATTTTTAAATCACTTGATCATGATTAATTGGTGATATTTTTGACCAATTTAACTGTAATTTGCAAGTAAATTTTCAAGCTAATTTGAGTTGAAATCCCAAGTCAACTGGTATAACAAATCTTCAACTGATCAGGAAAACCTTTCACTTTATTAACCTTTTTTAGAGCCTTCAATGTACACCAATTTTACCATTAATTTAATGAATCAGTCAAGAGTTAACTTAATCAATGACAGACTGTTGATTAACGTAAAGGTTGATTGATAACTTGTAATAGGATTTAATCATTGATCGTAAAACTGCTTTAAAAGGTTGCGATCTGACAATTATTAATAACAGTTTTCTGGTAAAAACTCATTTGTTTAACATGAAATCAAAAGCTTTTTGTTTCAATTTTTCACTGAATTTTGTTAATATTAACTCAATGGGATTATGAACTGATGTTGAAGACAGGAAAAGATATGAACAGTTGATCAACTGAACAATTTGGAAGTGTAAAAATGTTTGCTGTCAAGGAAAGCAAAAGATTAAATTTAATTATGTCTTGGATTAGTTAACTTAAGCTTTCTAACAATTTAAGTCATGTTAATGTGTGTTCATGGTAAGCTTAATGTTAATCCGCTTGATTCGGTTTTTACAATTAGGAAATGGAAAAATTGTTTGACCAGGAATTTTCAATCAAAATTCAAGTTGTTAGGCATTTTCATATTGACATGAATATGATAAAGAAAGTTGAGATAAAATCAATTTCGGGACGATCTCGATAAACCACTCTAAATGTTAATCAAGTATCAAATATTTAAATTGAGATGATTTATGATTAAATAGATGTTCAATGAAATGTTGAACCAAGTAAATCAATAAAGATGACATTATTAACACTATTGGCTGTTGAACTGTTAAGAGTTGAACCTAACAAAAGATGTCTCTCCGGTTGGGAAAAGAGGTCTTGATTAGGTTGATACAGATTTCAGTTGAATCTCATGATTAACTGAATTTGGTGGTTCCATTTAATCCATTACATATTGTTACAAGTTGATAATAATTACTAGTTGGTCAAGTCGATGATTATAATGATTAACTGTTGCAATGGGTAAAGTAGATGAAGGTTTGAAGATGAACAGCTGAAGGAGCAAATCTTTGCTGTTCATTGTCAACTTGAATACATTTTTGGGTTCAATTAATGATCACATTTTGTCTGGTTGTGTGATGAAAAATTAAACCAATAGTTTGTTGTTGTTCCCTGTTATTGATTGTTGTCTACTCTTCTCATTTCATTTCAATTAAGAGGAAGCCTCATTCTGGATGTATGCCATGATTATTGTTGGAGCTGGATTCATATTTTTTCTGGTCGGAACTGTTTATCTCATGCTGTGAGTATTTCAACATTTTATTCCCATGCTCAATTGTGACCTTCATTGGTCCATGGCTATTGATTGTTGAACAATATTGATCAGTGAATACTTGATATCCAATGATTGTCTAAAATATCCTCTCATTGTTTCTATTGTTGTTTTGCCGTTGTAATCATTGTCTTTTTATCTGTGAAATTTCAAGCCCTAAACCTCGTCTTTTTTGTTTCTGTTTTATTTCAGATCTCCTGATCGGTCTCATTAACTAAATGGTCAATTTTAAATGTTTAAAGTTAATTGTAAATTATAATCAACTCGGTTTTGCCCTTAACCTTTCAACTCTTTTTTTTACTCAATTTTCCTCTTTTGTTCTTGACATCAAAACATTTTTTCATTCAAATAAAACCAAATGAACCTCAAGTTTGGATGTTTTTGTCAATTTATAGCCTATGGAAAATATACCAGTAATTGTACAATTTTAAGGCCTTATAATTGCAATCATTATAAATGAAAGGACTTTTAATTGTAATGTAATTATAACTGTAAGGACTTTAAGGAACCGCCAAAATTAAATGATTTTTGCCTTCATGTGCTTCCATCTTGTAAGGAAACTTAGTAATAGATGAACATAAACAATATAAGCGCGGTAAGGTTGAAATAATTTGATCGTAATTGTAATAATTTAAAATATTTATTGTGATATTAAAAGTGGACAATGGATAGTGAGGGAAAATTGTTTAATACAAAATAAATATTTAGGTTTGTACAAAAAATGCATGCAGGATAGGAAGACAATTACAAAGAGATCAATTGAAAATACACTATTGAAGGTTAGGTTAAGATAAATCCCAAACAACTCGGCGTCTTTTAGCAGGTCTGGATATTTCAGGTTCGTCTCCTGATCCAATATGTACAGTAATACGTCCGAGAAATCTTCGTGGTTCGATGGGTTTTGGAGTCCGTTTAAACATGTGAATTAATCGGGGATCCATGTTTGCTGGTGAGTTGGGTTCCAATGGAATTGGTTGAGTTTCTTCAAACGGTGACACGATTGCCTTATATTTGTCCGGTCGGCGGTAAGATTTGATGGGAGTAACTTCAATAGGTTTAAGTTGATACTCAATTTCAAAGTTGAGTTTTCTCACGTGAGAACAGCTTGAAGTAGATGAACGGCCAACTGATTTTTGGCCTTTTTTTGGCTTTGGTAGTTGGGCATTCACAAGGTGAGCTGGTTTAGGTAAGATTGGAGTTAAATCCAAATCTTTCACTGGAGGCATGTTGGATGTAACTTGAGTATTGAACAAAATAGCAAAGGATTCACAGTCAAGTTTGATGTTGCTTTTCGCTATGTGGTCGAGCGTCAAATGAATGAATTGAACCAAATCCTGAAAAATATATAAAGAGATTAAAATTATGACGACACCCATGTAAGAACGGGATTGGCCCGTTAGAATAATCCTTCAGGCCATGGATTAAGAGCAAATTTTACCTAGGCAATTGCCTCGGGAAAATCACTTAATCTCTTTGGAGTTATAATTACCTCATATTTTGCTTTGTTTACATTTATAAATTTATCCATACTTTTTTTAGCCTCAGCAATAATTTGGCTCCAATGGACGTAATCATGCATTTTGTACCTATCCATTTGATGGACCATCTCGGTGAATAAAGGTCGTCTTCCGAACCCATTACATTCAACTGTGGTAACAAATTTGAATTTAAAGGAAGACAATAGGTTGAGAATAATTTGCAATAAAATGGACTGAACAGCCTGTAAATTTTCTTGCATAATCACCGCATGAGATGATGATAGTTGAATAAACTGAATGAAGCACTCTGAAGCTGTTAATTGACGTTTAATAGTTCTAACAATGAATTTGAAATCTTGCTCGGCATCCTTTGAATCAGTAGATCCAGTTGGGGATTGTATTTCCATTTGGATTGGGTTTTGAACAGGCTAAAGTTGATAACAGATATCAGGGTTAACATTAAACAATAAATGTTGATTAGTTTGATAGTCAGAGTAAATTGGAAACTATTGAAAATGAATTGATCATAATAATAGAAATAATAACGGCAGAGAAAATCCTGTTGAAGATGAATAAATGGTGTAATATTTTCCATAATTTGGTCACCAAAACAAAAGAGTTACACTAAACATAGATTAGATCATAGTTTTAATTTTTTACTTTTAGTTAAACTATTTACTATACTTTTAGTAATTAAACATTTAACATTAAAGCTGGTTAATAAACTGTTAACTGCTGTGCTGGTTAAAGCGAAAGTAGCATTTACTTTAAACCAAATGAGCACAGGGTTAAAGGCGAACCTTGAATCATGTTTATTCCCACTGTTTAAAACTTAACAGACAAGATTGAAGCCATCAAGACTAGATAGTTAGGATCGGTTATCTCTGGTTGGCTATAACAACAAAAACCTGGCTCTCAAGATTGCTTTGATTACTAATTGTAAAATTAAACGGTCAAAAATTGTATCTATAATTATATTTCCAAGAGGCTCCTAATTAAAGTGTGAAAATTGGTTAAATGAACCCTATGTAATGGCCTGATCCATGCAATTAACCAACATTAACCAAATAATGATTTTGTTACAAAAAATGCATTACCCAAAACAAACCAGATTTTATCTTGTGTTTAAAATTAACCAGGAAAACTAACAGTAATCAGTGATAACTAATCATCAGTCCATCAATATTGAAAGCCATTGAAAGCTATTGAAAATGTAAACCATCTTATCCAAATTGAAAGTCAATTGTTTGCTTTTGTTGATATGCAAATGATTAGCTACATGATTAAATGAACACATATGAAGTATCATTCAACCTTGTCGTAATTAGTGATTAGTATGTTAAACAAAGTAAAAAATTGATTGCTTTTTAAAATCATGTTTCTTTTGTGACACAAAAATTGGTAAATCATAACGAAAATTGGTTAAAGATTATTGCAAAAATTAAACGTGAATATAATTGATCGAGGAAAGGGAATGTTTGTGTTTACAATCAAAAGAAATCACAAGAGTCGTTATTGAATAGTGAATTTAAATGAGAAACAATAAAGAAGGTTGTTGATTGTTGTGCATTTTGGCTATTATAATAGCAACACTGAATTTTTTGATTGTAACAATAACATAGTCAACCAAATTAACAACAGGTGAAGTCAAGAATCTTATTTCGCATGATTTCTTGTGTTACTTCTTTTAACAACAAAACAAGATTATGATTACAGTGTAAGTTATTATTATATTTTTGAAATGCAAAAAAACCGCAATTGTTTCGCTATTCATCTTGAAATGCTCGATTGTTGAAATCAATAAAAGCGGTAATAGTCATAATCAATTTGTTGATTTTTGGTGATGGTTGATCAAAGAAGATGAAGATGATGGTTATGATGAGCTTTCAATTATCCATAACTAATTTGGCAAAATGATTCCTCCTTATGTGATGTGCCGTTTTAATGGCATCTTTACAGTAACAGCAAAATGTCTTCTTCTCAGCAACTTATTGGAGGATCAGCAACCACACAAACAATAATAACAATTAAATAAATCATTTTAAGAGAGAAACACTGACAATTGTGAGAGTAAACAGACAGACAATGTTATGACTGATATCATTACTACATTAATGATAGGAAAGCTAAACACTCACACCTTAGCCTGGTTGAGAATCAGTCTCAATCATTCAGCTTGTGATACAGTTTGACACTCACACATAATGAAAAATTATCAACAACAATATAATCTGCTCTTGCTAATGGACCATAAATGGTTTTCAATGAGTATTACTGAAAGTGGAAATATATGTCGATATGATGATGAAAACCAAAAACATCGCCAACATTGTCACTTAAACTTGATCCGTTGGGTTGAGGCTCAAATTTTGGTAAACTAATTGTGTACCAATAATGATCATCAACAACAATTAGCCAGCTTTGTAGGGTGTCACTTTTCATTCCACTTGTTCGTTTCCTTTTCAGGATTTGTCCGTTGAGTTGATTAAACCATGGTAACACAATGTAAATTGGTGGCTCTTTTGTCTTAATTTGGGGGTTTATTCTGGTTTCTTGGCTTCTTCCTTTTTTTCACAAGTTCCTTCGATCTTGATCTCTTTTCCTTTTGATAATCTTTTATTTTGTTCGTATTTTTTTCTTTATCCAGTCCTTTTTTTGCTAACTTTCCAACATGACGTAAGAATAGGTATGAAACCTGATTTTTCTGTAAGGCAAAGAAAAGAAAAGTAAGTAAGAAATGAAAGGAAAGAAATCTTGACGGGAGTCAGTCTTCCTCTACTTCACCTTTTCTCATTCTCCTTCTTTCTTCATCTTCAAAATTTTATTTTCCCTGTATCATGCTCCTGCAAGAAATCAGTTTCACTCTCGATTGAACGTAGTCTGATTATTTTTACATTTGATCATACAGCAAGCTCTATTGTAACGGTCCTTCATTTTTGATTCAACGTGTGTGTGTTTGTGTTCTGTTGTTTTTTCTTCAATTGTTTTCAAGACTCCTTTTAAAGGCTGGATATCACGGCTTTTACCTTGTAAAGCTACCATTGTTATGATGACCCTTTCATTTGCAAGGTTACAACCCCATTATTTATCCAAGTTGACCTTTAAATGAAATAGAAAGGGAAAAAGTACAATTTAAAACATTTGGAAAAAATCCAAGGAATAAACATCAAAGCGAATCAACTTGGCAAAGACATCTCATGCTTTAACCACATAATTTGACCACACGGCTTACCTGTTTGAATTTTTTTAAAGTGTTTCCATCAACTTTTCAACCATAAATTTCAACTGATTGATCAAATTATCCGGCCAAAATTAAATGAATCGGTTTAGACATCTGAAAATCAGTGATTTCATCGAGCAAAAAAACTGTGATTTAAAGTTTAATCCACTGTGACTTCACCCTATCAGGAAAGTGATTCATTAGCTGACAATTTTATGGAATAAATGCCAATCAAGATGAAAACCGATCAAAAATCTGGTGATAAAGTTGTTCCTCCTCTGGAATCCAGCAATAACAGGATAACAAACTTGGTCAAATCAATCAATGGAGGTAAGATAACAGCAATTATTGTGTACACAAAAAACAAACCGATAAGCTGGTGAAAGTATTGAACAAGAAAATGAGAGGTCTGATAATGATATTTTACGGAGGGAGAACTGTCGTTCACACGGTCAATATTGGAATTTGAAAATTTTAACAATTTAAAATGCAATTAAATTTTGTTTATCAACAAAAATTAGTCCAACTTGTAACTTAAAAACAGTTATTCAGCTGATTTGTGATGGATTAGTGTGTTTAATAGCTCGTTTACCCTTTACTTAAATTATAATAGCCAATCACTAGCAAATTGACTTTTTTCAAGCATTTTTCATTTTTCTCAACAGCTTTCAACATTTCAACCAGGGTAATTAAAATCCAATTTAAATAGGATTTCAGTGACTTTTGTGTTCGTTTTTCTGAAAATTCCAAAATTATTTAGGATTCAACTCACTTGTATTATATATTAACATCCTTGAGGATTCTATTATAATTACATCTACAAGAGTCTCTTTCGTGTCTACAACTACTGTGTTTATCATTTGTTTCTTATGTTCTTTGTGTTATTAATTTTTTTATCAAATTCCTCTATGAAAGATTATTATTATTAAGCGTCTTATCTTCAAGGCCCTGTTATTAAGTCTAAAAATGACTGGTTCAAGTTTCGTCGAAACAAATTTTGTTACTCTTTCCATTGTAAAGGTAGGAATCACCTGCAATCTTCTCGTTATTTGCATTCATTTCATTGATATATCTCATTATATTGATGTTTTTTAAAGCACTTTAATTTCCAGTTTACTTTCTCTTTGTACCTTTTTTACATGATATTGTCAGATAATAATTACCATGCTCGTCATAACCAAATCAAATTTTGAAGGAATACAATTCAATGGTTTTGCTGCTGTTAACTGAAATATCTATTTTTTTACTCTCAAAGGAAACAATTATGGCGATAGTAGGAATCGTGAATGTGTCTATTAGACGTAAATGATTGGATTGAAATGAATCAGAGAAGTGAAATTTCTCAACCTGTATTTGATTACTGATTTTACATGCCGTAGGCAATTGATTGAACTGACTTCAACACCTTGTTATCAATGAGGAAAAAAACTGGACAAGTTGATCATTTCCCAAGCTCAAACATGATACTCATTGATTTACAAACCAACCAAGTTTAATGTTTCTTTTATGTTTACTTAAATTCACGACAATTTGTATCAAGTTGTCATGATTTGTCATTTATATGTTGAAATTGCATGCTTCAGATTTTTGCAAGTTTGGCATTAATGGCCCACTCAAGGCAACCATGCTATTTGATTAATTGAAACTTGAAAAAAAGTCTTCATCATTCAAGATTTTTGTTGAATAATTTGCTAAACAAATCACTACAATGTATTGGATTCTTAGCAACTTGTCATTCAATCAGGAAGAGAATGATGAAAATGATAAAGACTAATCTTTCTGGTATTAGTGAAAGCTCAACTGACAATCAATTTCATATTTTTTCAATCATGATGACAATTAAACTGTTGAACCAATAATTTACTAGCCATGAAAGGCAATAACAAGTAAACTTTGAAAAGTTTATTTCCATGAATTGAACAATTTTTTGCCTCTAAACATCTTGATAGATTGAATCATTTTTGACAAAATGTCTGTAAATTTAGGTCAGTTAGAGTCTTAATTATTGTAATAATTGACTTGTAGTCTCATTATTTGGAGTCAATAGGAGCACACCTTAGTTGAAATGATAGGAATTATAGCTAAATGAAAATCTCAAAATCAATTGGATAAAGATTCGAGTCTTATTAGTTTGGCTTCTGTAATCAGGTTCGTCGACAATTTATATAACCGTAAAAATTAATACTTTCCAAATATCTTTTCAATTATAATTATCGTTGTTATTGTTACTGTTAATCAATTGAATCAAATTTTTAAATTCAAAATGCGATCTCAACAATCCATAATAATAAAGTCAATCAAAATCAGAATGCATAAAATTTCACTTCTTTTTGCTTCCAAGTCCAACTAAATTTCAATTGATTTCAATTAATGGTTATACATCCATTTATTATTGATCAAACTCTGAAGCTTTTGTTGTCAATTAGATTGTTATAAACTAAAAAACGAACGATTTTTGTAAATCTAAAAAGTAAACCAAGCAATTGATCTTACAATAGTGTATGCAATCATACCTTAAAATCAGATTTCTGAAAATTCTGTCTGAGTATTACATTATATTACTATTCGTATTTAATTTTATGGGCAATTTTGATCAAGGGAACCAAAATTGAAACCTTTTGACGTTCGAAGCCTTCACCGGCTAACTGGTGGAAGTGCTGCATTAGGTCAGGGTGTTGCGCTTCACAGACTTCAATCGAGGGATAGTTTTTGCAGGCCACATCAAATACTCCAGCGATCATTTGATTGATTTTTTCAGCTAAATAGGGTCCAGCTTCAACTCCAGTTTTATGTTTACAGTCTTCGTCTATTCCTTTCACGAAACAATTAAAAATGTAATGAGCAGCGCAACATGAAGCGGTTAAAATTTCCTTTTCATCTCCGTCCACTTTATCGGCTGTATATTGTAACATGGCGATAACTTTGTTCAAGCAACCCGTTAATTTGTTGGTTTCATCATCTAGACATCGAATGTGACCCAGAAATTCTGTCATAAGATATTAGGAAGAAACAGGTTTCATTGTTAGAATCGTATCATATTATTATAAAAATGTATCATTTGGAGATTATTTGTTACTTGAGATGTCATTTGGCAGGAGATTGACTTCTCAATCAATTCTGACCGATGTCAATGTAAAAATGATACATCTTTATAATTTAATCAGGAATATTGACATGAACAATAATTACGGGATCTTCCTTCAGTTGAATCACATCTTTCACTGATAATTTGACGACTATTTTGTGAAACTAAATTAAACATTTCCCGAGGTAAACCATGTAAACACTTTTTATATGCACGAACGCAGGTCGCTGTTTCCTTCACAAGTCTAGAAAAAGCAAATTTATAAAAAAAATTAGAATTTTAGGAATCAAACAATGAGATACAAAAGCTATTGGGTATTCCTCGACTCGGTGAGAACGATTTAGTACTTCAGTAGGTTTCTACTCCGAGAAATCACTGATTATCTCAAGAATGGTTAGTTAATTAATACAGGGTGTTAATTAATCAACTTTAGACGTTTGAATGGCTGTATTTTTGTTTTCTTTGCGTTTATCAGCATTCTGATTTCGCCTGAATGAAGAAGAAGAGCACGAAAAAAGCTCACAATGCATTCCCAAAATTATAAACTTTTTCTGTCTCAAGGAGGTCAAACGAAAGTCGAAAGTTCGGAATGACAATATTTTTTACATTATAAACATGCCTAAGGTACTTTTCGAATAGAAGATGGTTCGACAACTGGTAACTATTCTAAAAATTTTCTAATGCCCTCGTTAGCATTCTGCACTACTCAGTAGGGACACACTATGAATCCTGGATGAACAGAGGCTGATCTGTTTGTCCGCGATTTCGCGTACATTTGAAAAAATGCCAATAAATCGAAAACGAGGAGAGCAATCAAAGCAAACTAAATTGCCTCGAAAAGAACATAGAAAGATCATATGGAAACTGTCTTTAAGTACTACAAAAATAACTCTCACACTTTGCAATAAAAAGCCGAAAGTAACTTTTCGAAATTCGGCTTTTAGGCCGTAGAATCGCTTGTGTTTGACATTGAATCAAATGATCTTAAAATAAATCAATCTACACCTAGGGCTAACAGAATACACGATTAAAAAGTTCGAGTCTACTTGCATTGACTAGAAAAAGAGAATCAAACGTCTAAAGTTGATTAATTAACACCCTGTATAAGAGTGACAATGAGAAATGGGTGAGATGTTGATTTATAGGAGTAGATAAACGGTAAGCTTTACTTTTCCTAATAAATTTAGCTAGAAGTAGAAGGCTCATAACCACTCATTTTGATTGATTCGAAAAATTTGATAACTTACTTGCAATGATGGACCATATCCTGTTCATTCTGGACAAATGTTAAATTCCAATCAGTAAAATAAACTAACTTCTTGAGACACTCGTCAGAATCAAGCAACTGCTGGTCACAATCCATAGCCATAGCTCCTTTGTGTATAAAAAAGGGTCAAGAAAACATTTTGTTAAACCTTTTGACACAACAAATGATTTTTACAATAATCAAACACAAACCTCTGAACAAATAAAGATTAATCAAGTTAACACCAATAAATGTGATTAAAATCATGATTGTCAACTAAAAGCAAACCAAAGAAAAAACAATGAAACTGGAATACAAATAGACGAGAGAACTGGTCAGACGATATGTTTGCAGTTTATAACAGATTCCTCAAAATTTAAGACGTTTGATACAATGAAATATATGTTGACTGTTGAAAAGGAACATTAAATTTAAATTCAGCAATTAATCTCAAATTATGAGCTAGCGAGACAAACAATCAACCAACCTAGAAAGTTGACTATTGGCCTAGCAAGACAAAAAACACACATTTATATAAAGAAACTATCAATCATAGTTTAATTTTCCCGCAAACCTGACTCAACCCCTTTCATCCAATGAAATAACAAGTGCAAATAGAAAGACAAAAGAAAGTAATTTGAAAATTAATAATGCTCAACATTTAATTATAGTTACCAGATAATGAGTAGTTTACCGTTTACCAAATTCATCCTTCTCGAGCAAATACGTAATTTAAATTTCCAATGAAACACCATGATAAGTTTGATCATCAATTGATCATTTCTTTCCTTATTACCTACGAAATAATAAACATAAATAAGCAATTAATCAGTTTATAGCTCAATGGATTGGTCGCCATTCATGTGTAAATCTATTGAAAGTCTCTCTGTACTTGACAATTGATGAGACTGTAATTCATTGTTTACCAAACAATTACCTTGGAATCACAATTTAATCAATCAACTGTCCTAGCAGAAACCCAAATAGTCCAAAATTAACAATTTACTTGTGACAAGGTTTAAGTTTGGTGAAGCTTTTATGGCCAAAATTTGGTCAGATTTTGATCAGCCAACACATTTGCTGTAAATTGTAAAGCTTTGACCAACCTTGTTCAATTGAAGGCCTGTCTAAGAGTTTAATTAAATTTGTTGCCATTAAATCGATTGATCAACATTTAGCTCTTAAATAATGTTCAAATCACTTACTGATCACTATTTTGAATTGAGATAAAATTACTTACAGACTAGTCCATGGCTTTCACAAATATAAGATTTTTGAAAAATGGTCTCATTAATTGAATGATTGATTAAGTCTCTTTTTTGTCAAAATTTTGCTGAATTGAGGTCAATCAAATTACGATTGTAAATCATTAGGTTAACCCACTCACACACCTTGGTCAATATTTTGATATATCAACATTTGAAATGGAAATATTCAAATTAGTTGAATCGGTGAAATCAAGTTTAGCTTCTGTAATCTGCTGTTTCAATGGACATCAGTAAGCCTAATAAACCTCTGTTGGTTGATTACGGCTCGTAACCTGGTCAATCCTTAATCATAATGTAATACACTTTACCTAATTGTAAGGTCAACAATCTAGGTTTGGTGGTCTAAATCACTTTTGATCACAATCACAATTGGATAGTTTTTACTAGATGTTTATCTTTGGCCGTATATTGTTATTAAAATGCGTTAAGCTTAATGTAATAAACTATTTAGGCCAACACTTTACAGCTATCTGGCTGAATGGCAATTATCCTAATAAGCTTGACCATTATTTATTCCATTGGGTGATTAATGTTACAATCAAGTGTTGATTTAAAAATTGTAATAGGTTTTGAAGCTGAATCATTTTGCGTTGCTTACCAGGTAAGATTGAACATTGAATATATCAGTTGAAATGGTTGAAAAGACAATGAATTCACAATGAACAATTAAAAAAGACATCAAAAGGTGCATAGTTTTGCAGATTATCCAGCTTGATTGTGATGATAAATCAGTTGATGATGATTATGATGGTGGCTGTAGATACATGTTAATGATGCTTGTAGTTTCATGTTTACTTTCATATTTGAAAAGGCTTGACCTTTTGTAATGGAATAGTTGAATAATAACTTACAATTGTCAGATTGAATTTGATTCAATTAATAGAGAGATTCAAGGTTTCAAATCTTCACTTATTAAACATTTTCAGTTAACTTATGAACATATCAAAATGGAAGGTCAAACATGTTGGTGATCGCGGGAAAAACAATACAAATCCATCGAAACAACTGAATAACTGTTTTGATTGAATGGAAATTTAACAGTCAAAATATTAATAAATCGTAAAATAGCAGCTTTTATAAATTTACACTTAAATTCATAAATATACTTATAATCGAAAAACTGAATTATTATTAAAAATTAAGAATCAATAAATTAAATAAATCTCAACTCAAACACATTGATCTTACGGAATCAGCTTTAGATCAGCTGTTAGCAATTTAAGTTTTTCACTTTCCCGGCTTTCAGCTTCTCAATAACAAATCATTTATATTTATTTTATTATTTATTATTGTATTTATTTATATTTATATTTTATTTTATTACAATTATTTAATTAAAGATGGTGATGGTGAATGGATAAGCTCTAAAAAAGTGATTAACCACAAGACTCGTCAGGTTGAGACTCGGATAAAGCGTCAAATTATTATGGAAGATGGAAAGGTGATTGCTGATAGTGGACCTCAAATCACTACACGGACTAAAGAAGACAACTGGACAGAAGAATCGGAAAATTGTGCCAAAAAAGGTTCTCCCGTTGATGCCAAATCAATCGTTCCAATGGTTAAATCATCTCCAGTGAAAATTGAAAAGGACCATGTGGTTTGTGAAAAGATAGAGACCAAAAATACAACCCGAGAGGCTAAACATGAGCGTTTTCAATATCACGATGAATCAATCTCAGAGTTAACTGGTTATGATATCCATCAGAAAGCTTTGGTTTCACCCAATGATTTAATTACCATCAACTGTGACTTGATTGATGTAAAGCAGGACATTGAAGAAGCCAATTTTGAAGATAAAGGCGTAATTGATGATCCACCAAAAGGTAAACTAACCCATTACTCGAGTAAAAGCCACAAAGTTACGGATAAAGAGGAGATAAAGGAAACCTCAAAGCTCGGTGTTGATGGGGAAATAAAAACGGAAACTGTGCGTACCCATCATCATGAAGAAGTTGATGACGACGAAGAACCTGATGAAGATGAAGACAGTTCGAAGAAGAGCAAGGATATCAAAGAGTTGACTGTTAATCAACTTCCTGAAATATCTAAAGAAACTTCCAATAGAATTGAATATTCTCAAAATTATGAAACTCCAATCATTCAACCAAATAATGAGGGTAATCATCGTGGCCATGTTGATATTAAACCAATCTATGATATTGGCGGTAGAGCTGATCATACCACAAAGTGAGTCTCCATTATTGTTATCCTGATTGCTCAAATCTATTTTAATGGTATAATAAATAAGATGCAGAACAGAATTTTAATCAGACTCATAATTGTTAAATATTTACTTTCACCATTCACTCTAATTAAGCAGCAGTTGCAACATGAACCATTCCAAGCATCTTTATTGTTATGAGCGATTAGCTGTTAATCAGATAATTGTACTTAATATTTACTTTTCTTTTCGCTTCTCCTTTTAGGTGGTTGGAAAGTCATTTTGGTTCATCAGATACAAGCCAAAACGATAAAGAAATATCTTCATCAAGTGGATCAGCAGTTGATCGTCGAGGTCGTCCCCGCCAACGTATTAATCCTGCTATGAGTCAATCTTATGATGAAGCCTACTACTCAAGATCCAACACCTATGGTGAAAACACCAATCGAAGCCATTCCAATTTATCAAAGCCAAGTACCGATAAGTTTGATTGTTTAACATCTCCGTCACCCTCACCAGTAGCACCCATTGGGTCACGTAAATCAACAAAAAAGCTGGCAAACCACGAGATTGGTTACGACAAAGCAAATGACTCTGGCAATTCAAATGGTACTTGTACATCCAGTGAAAGTAGCTATTACAATGGCGTCGACTATCATCACTCCTCTGAAGGGTCACTTTCCCCCTCCGGTCACAGCTATAACACCAACCAAACCTTTTCAAAGCATCAACGATGTCACTGTTTTACCGATTCACCTGTTAACAAGCGTTTTTCCCATCAAAGCCATGACAGTAAACCAGTTTCAATCAATTCAAGTCAACATTTTATCAAAAGCAATCATAAAAATAATAACAATAACAGAAATCTTATTATTCGAGTTAAACATCGTGTTTCCAAGGAAGATGCTTCTGTTCAAGCATCATTATCAGATGAGGTTAGTCGATCGTTTTTCAATCATCTTTTAACCATACAATCTAAAGAGCCAATTGTAATCATGTTTTTTGGATGTACGGGTTGACCTTTTTCACGTTACAAGTTTAAGTGTTGAAAAAAGTGACTTTAAAAAGGCGACCTAACCTTCAAAATTTAATCTATTTAATCGACCGTAAACAAATATTGATAATTTCTTGATTCAATCTGATTAGATGTAACAAAAAAATTGTAACTCTTATGAATTGTAATCAGACGGAATTTACTCATTCTTTATGTTTCAAGCTTATTTCAATTTGAATATTTCTCGATTTCACTTGCACTCTTCCGTTTCAACCGAACTCAATCATTTTATTACAATTATCTTTTGATGAACAATTGACCATTATTGAAGAGCATTCATCCATTACCTTTTCACCTGAAAATTAAAATTGTTTCACAAAATTGTTGATCAAATGAGACATTTTAAAATTTTGTCTAGCTTATTAACTCATAAGATCATTAATATCAAATCGATACATTTTGTATTGACTTGAAACAGTTAATTATCGAGATTATTGTGATATCCAAATTTGCATATTAATCTATGAAATTAACCATTTCTCCTACAGTTAGCCATTTACCTTAACCTTAATCAAGTTATCACCATTTCAGGATTTCAAACCATTTCCAAGTTTAAAGCTTTTAATTTATCTTTTTTTTATTGTGTGTGTTAAACAAATTGTACAATAATCTAATTCAACACTTGAATCTGTTTAATAATTTAGATATCAAAAGTGAATGAAAAATCATGTAAAAATCATTAGAATAAATTATTCATTCATTAAATTGGGTTAAACAAAAATAGTTAATCATTTACGGTTGAAAGTTGTAAATGAAATATTAACCTTTAGTGTTTTGTTTAAGATCACAATTTTCCCGTTAATATTAATTTTTCATCGTTTAATTTGAAGGTTAACCAAAAATACAATTATCTTGACAATTTCAAAGCTGATTTGTTCCCAAATTATCATGATAATTCATGTCATGTCAGCTTATTGGTAACCTTGAGCATCTACAGGAGGTAAACAGAAGCTCCAATTAAATTGAATCGACTGAGTTTCTGACTCTTCAAAGAATCAAAATATTAACTCAATTTAATGAGAAATTTTCACTTTCTTATTACTTTAATACGCTAAACACAGTCAAAGTAAATTGAAATTGTAACATTAAAAACATCTTTGCGATTCTCATCAATTTAAATTAATTAGTGAATCAGATGAATGAGTCTAATTGAATTTGATTGACCAGATAACAATAATTATATAATAATTGTTTTAGGTTGAAAAATGCATGAAAATGTTTCGCTTTTAAATGATATTTAAGATACTCTTACCCATCTTGTTACAGAGACATTTCAATGTAATTACTGGTTAAGGTTAATTTATACCATTTTTATGATTATTAAAATTAATTTTTACTCACCAAATCGTGAATTAATTTAAATTAAATGTTAAATTTTCCTTTTGTTAACTTGATGATTACAATTAATTGAAAAAGCACGTTATTAATGTTGTACATTTTCGTGATTTACAATCAACATTTGTAGCCTCTTTTTTCTGGTTAGCTTATTAACTTTTTTTAATCAACTCAATTTTACAACAATTGAAATTAACAAGTCAAAAGGTGATTGATTCTAGCCAACTGTTTAAATTATCCATTGCTAATTGTTTCCCTTTTAAAGCTTATTATTCACAGAGATCAACATTTCCACCTGAATCAAAGCTCTTATTCAATTTCAATACTAATATTTGCATCTTTTTTTCATTTTCATGAATAGGAATATAATTATGATGATTTCAAAGAGACTGCTAAACATGGAAGAAACGCAATTGTAATTACTGATGTCAATAAAAATGTTGGTGGCACCATTGTTCGTCCAAGGCCTATCAAGACTTATTATTTTGGTGAAAAGGTGGAACCGATTGTTGGCTCTGATTGTTCCAATAACCAAATCGATTCAAATAACAACAATAATAGTGGTCATGGTGATAAATCATTTGGAAAGAAAAACTATTCACAGATATTGCCCATTGATTGTTCATTCAATTCAACCAGTTATGCTTACCAAGGAGATCCAGATGAGATGAAAATGCCGTTCATTGAAAATGGTAAATTTCTTACTTCGCCTGAACACAAGCGGATAATCAATGGATCACTTGATAGGTTATTTAATGGATCATCACGGACTGATTTGTTTCAAGTGAGAATCGTTTTTAATTAACTATCATCTCAACTAACGGCTTAACTCACACTTTGAAGTATCAATTTTTATTGATATTGATAATGAGCGGTGAATCCAATGTAAACATATTTTAATATTTGTTACTTTTTGATTGATCTGTAGACTCGTGATCGTGGCTCCTTATCTAATTGGCGAAGCACAATTAATTTAAGATCAAACGGACTGGCAACAATTGATGCACCATTAACAAGAAGTGGACTATATCAATCAAAAGACGATTCCTGTAAAAGCTATCGCGATTCAGGATTTAGGGCAAACACGTTTACTCGGAAACATCATGGATCTGTTAATTGTTTGAATGAAAGGTTTAAATATGACCAAATTGATGACAAACTTGATTCTTTTGGGTTTAATTCATCGAATCGTGGTTTGTCCCCGATCCAGGAAAGGAAGAGTCTATTAAATCTTCGTAAAATTGACTTGATATTGAAAGATAAATCAAATGGAGCAACTCGATGGCCAGTTTTAAACTCATCTTCAAACAAAATTAAAAATGTATCATCTCTGTATAATGGATTTGATAATTATCATATACCAAGGGAAGCAAATAGTTTTAGGAATCGATCTACAACTTTAAGCTATTTTAAAGCTCATTGATAATTTAAAAATATCATTGATCTTGAATAATAAAATCAATCTCTGGATGCTAATTAACTAAAACAAGACTGCCTACTCTACATGTCATTCACATCAACAAACTAAAAGTGCACTAATTTTATCAATATGTTAAATTTATCTGGAGATTTGTTGATTTTCATAAATGTTGACTATTGTAACAATTTATTTAATAATTTTATAATAGATAATGACCATCCAATTTTGTAAATTGATCATTAAACTATTTAAAACCAGATTTAATTGACTTTTGCTCTTATTGCCAATAAGATTTACAGTAAAAACTCTGTCTATCTTCTATTTACTAGTATTCTAGTATTTACTAAAATTACTAAACTATTTATTAATTGTTTGCTAGTACATGGTATATAAACCAAATATCACTACATTATATTATACATTGTATGTTAATACTAAAACCCAAACTATGTTCAATGGAGTAAGTCCAAAAATAAAAAAGAACCGAATACTGTATTAGAACTGTATTGATACTGAATTAGCGTTAATTGGCAATAACATCAACAAGAAAATTTTCAATATAATGAAACGTAACTCAGAGTGAATAGTTTCGTAAGACTTCATAACATTGATCGAACCAAAAAATTTCAAATACAAATTGTTGGCAAATTATGAAATCAGGATAAAACTGATTATATTGATTGATTGAAAAAAGTTTTTTTAAATTGAATTTGATTTGTCCCATTTCATATGCAGCAGCCTGAGTTTAAACCTATTTATATACATACAAAAATATTGAATGCTGATGCTAAAAAAGAAAATTTTGCAATTGAAAAACACTTCTCCGAAACTATTGTCGAACCAAACGCTCCAACTTAAGTCAATTGACTACTGCATATGGAATAGAGCAAATAAAAAGACAAAAAAATACTAAAGCTTGGTTTTTAGTCACTAGAATCGCTTATGTTGAACAAAAATCAATCTGCATTCGAGACTAATCAAATATAATATAAAAACACCATTAAATTTGTATCAATCATAAGTAAGAATCAAACATCTTAATTTCATATATGAACAGCTTGTTATATTAAAATGGAAATGATTAATGAAAGATCAAAGAAAATTATAAGTTGATAGAGTTGAATTATCTGCATACATGAATGATGGCAATACATTTTCAATCTGATTAAACGTAACTCAGAGGGAAGACAGCATGACATTGATCGAACCAAAAAAAATTTAATCACAAAATTGTTACAAAATTATTGAAATCATGAATTTTTTATTAATCTAACAGTTCAGATTTTTAGTATATTTTCAATACTTTTTGAATATATTGCAAGAGAGAATTGAATCAAATAGAATGAAATTTAATTCACATTTTTGCATATTTACGGTACTTGTTGTTTAATTTGACCGGTTTTCGTAGGGCTTGCGGCCACTCTGCAAAATCATCAGCAAATGGTTCTGCTTCCCTTCTTGCGGTACAGGATGGCCGTACGAATTTCCCATCGTTTTTCTCGTCCTTCCTTGAGTTTATGTGACGGTTAATGATATATTTTGTGGAGCAATAACCACAATAAGGGCACTGCCAATCTCTCTTTATCTTATCTTTGGCAGCGTCTTTTCGCAGATCAGCCGCAAAGGGAACACCAGGCACTGGCTCAAGTATTGGATAATTGTCTTTGTTAAGTTCCAAGTTCTCAGTTTTATCTTCATAATAAGCTTCGTAAGAAACACAGCCATGCATCTTTCCGTCGATTACAGCCATATGTTTGAGTTTGCATGGAACCTTAATTGGTTGACGCAATTGACAAATGCAGATGGCCAATCGCGGTTTGTCCTGAAATTCACCATTATTAGCGTGCATTACTTGATTGGGATTCTGGAAAATGAATAGAATGAATTGGTTAGACAGTAGCTACAGAATTGTTATTTTGCCAGAAAAACATCAGTCAGATAACCCTTAAAAACGCTTATCTCCCATCTAGCAAATGGATAAGAAAAAGGATACAGGGTGGCAAATTTTTCAATCACGGAAGTCAGTCTGACTCACACAGGAATAAAATATCTATCTATCGTGTCGTAAGATTTTTCTGACATGACTTTCAATTAAAACAAATTAGCGAAAACTCACCGATGATGAATGTAAATCAACATGCCTTGGCATAGTTAAATTTTTTCCATGCTTGACTCCTGTCGACTAATAACAAAAAATTAGCGTTAAATACAGTGGGTAAAGTAAAATGAACTAAATACTCACCATTCTGATCTCAAATATGTATTTGTATAATATTCCTGAAATTTGAAATAAATGATAGAAATGATTGAATAATTTATTACTACACTAGCAGTTAGAGTTAAGTTAACAATAAAAATGGTCAGCGTGAAGGTTAAGTGCGTTAACATTTTTAGGTGTCGCCATCTCGAGTATACTAAGTTTCAAAAGACACTGAACAATAGACATCTATGGAAAATTGAAAAACACTACTCCGAAACTATTGTCGAACCAAACGCTCCAACTTAAGTCAATTGGCTACTGTATATGGAATAGGGCAAATAAAATTAATTTAAACAAGCTTTATCACAGAGTCAATCTGTTTATCCACGCTTCCCTATCCAAGCCTGTTTATGAGCGCTATAAAAATAGTTCTCACACTTGCAAAAAAGAGAAAAAAATTAAAAGCTTGGCTTTTAGTCACTAGAATCGCTTATGTTAGACACGGAATCAATCTAGACTTGAGACATATCAAATATAATATAAAGAATTTCTGTTCAATTTGTATCAACCAGAAGAAAGAATCAAACATCTTAATTTTATATATTAACAGCCTGTTATATTAAAAATATAAATGATTAATGAAAGATCAAAGAAAATTATAAGTTGCTAGAGTTGATTACAATGAATTGTCCGCATACATGTATAATATTGACAGTAAAAAGTTTTTTAACAATTTATTTTTAATGAGACTGGTCTTTTAATTTCTTGCGAAGGAAATGACCCTTAAGACCAATTAATAAGATTTGCCTCATTGATAGTGAAGCTTCATTCAAATGCAAAAGAATCAATGTGCAGTCAGGGAAACATACGCTTTAAAAGAGCTTTATCAAATAAATGAAAAAATTATGGTGAATTATCCTGAACGCATTTAGATGAGGTAATTAGCTTTCCAATTTTTGCTGAAAATTATTCATTAAATTGTAGTTTACTATTGATGATATCATTGAATGTAGTGAATCCAATAAAATCATATTTTAATGTCTTTAATTTTTGATTGATTTGCAGACTCGTGGTCGTGACTCCTTATCTAATTAGTGAAGCCAATTAATTTAAGATAAATCGGATCATTAACAAGCATTGGACTATATCGACCAAAAGATAGTTCAAATCGCGATTCAGTATTTCGTGCAATACATTTACTCGGAAACACCATGGATCTGTTGATTGAAAAGATGAATTGTCAACGATATAATAATGAAAAGATTTATTAAATCTTCAGTTAAATTGAAAGGATACATGAATTACGGAGGACTGCAAAGGATAAATAAAATTCACATGAAATCAACTTGAGTGAATTTATTGCCTCAATATGAAACGATCAGCAATTGTTCAGATTAATCAAGCTTGTTAAGTACACTGATTCTGGTCATAAATGATTTCACAAGAAGCAAATACAAGGTAATTGTTATCATTTGAAAGTGAAAGGTTTCTTATCATGTATCATTTAAATAATTGAATGTCTATCGACTTTCATTCATTTCAGATTGATAATTATCAAGGGTTCTTAATCTTACAGACATACGATTTAGTAAATGAAAGACCGAATGGTTGGGTAATATCACTAATCATTAACAGTTAATAGATCTAGATTAGTGAAAACAATTGATTCAATAATCTGATGATTCTCTTTTTGTCTTATTAATATTAATAGTAAACATGTCACCAAAAATCTATCCACAAGAGGATCATTGAGAATGATAAAATCTGTATTTGCCTTTTCCTAGCATTATACAGATGGTGAATTAGTAACCTGAAATTTTATAGTGTCTCATTTCAAGTTAATTGCTAAAATTTGTTTCAACCAGAATTATTAAGAGCTAATCCAAATAGACGGCGCTAGTTGATAGATTAAATTAAATTAAATTGATTTAACAATTTTTCCTCTCTTTCATTGTGTTTCCTTCCATTGTTAATATTCAACTGACTACAACCTCTATTTGAGTACTTGACAAGTTGAGTTGCTGTATTAAAACGATAGATTATAATTTCCCATTGATTGATCTGTTTCTTGTTACATCCAAAAGCTGTTGACAAGATGTTTGATGAAGAAGAAACATTGAATGTCGATGAATTGGCCAAAGTCGAGGAAGTTTGTGTTGACATTTTACCCGGAATTTGGCGATGCATGACCAAGGATGATATGCTTGTATCAAAATGCTCGTAAGTTTGACTTTTATACCTTGATTTTAGTCTTGATTTAACTTATCGCCAACTGTGATATTGAGAATCGATTGGAGGATTGTAGTTGCTTTTAACTTATCATGATCAACCAACATCTCGTTACAGAGGAGGAATCGCCAATCGGGTTTATCTTGTTCAAGTGAAACCTGATAGAGCCGAAGGTAAATTAGGAACCGAACCCAATCGAGTCATCGTGCGTCTTTATGGAAGTACAATTTTAAAAAACATTGATGAGCCTAGGTTATTGGGTGATGATGCAGAGATAATTATCTTCCATTTTTTGTCCGTTTATAAACTTGGGCCCAGACTGTTAGGTGTTTTCACCAAAGGACGAATTGAAGAATACATTCCTGTAGGTATCGATTCAGTAAATTTAGTAGATAATCAGTGCTCGATTTCATGTGTCAATTTTTTATCATTTAAATTCCAGAATGTCAGACCAGGACCAAAAATATTGGAAAAACGAGTGATTAATCAAGTAATGGCAAGGCTATTCGCTCGTATCCATTCACTTGAGCTTCCAATTACAAGAAAACATGTTTTCTATTCCACCTTGTTCCATGGGTTAATGGGTGAAAGAGTTAAAGACGAAGGTGAAATGATTATCCAGTACGATGAAGAGGCTACTGTAATTGCAGATGAAATTGATGCCTTTCCTTTCCATAAGCAACTAAAATGGTTAGATGATACTTCAATCAAGATTGGTGCTAAATCAGTATTTTGTCATAACGATCTTCATCTTTACAATATACTTTTCCGCTCTGAACATAAGGATGGTAATAAGATAAGGAAAAGTCTTGATACAGATGATTATAATTTCTGGAGGTCCATCATGGTTCCGATTGATTATGAGCTTGGTAGTTACGGCTGGAGAGGTTATGATTTGGCTTATTTCCTCAATTTCCGTTACTATCACCCTTGTGAAGGTGAAGTTGATTATGAGAAGATCAAGTTTCCTGATTCAGAGGAAGTATTGACTTTTGTTAAAGATTATTTGAGCCATTTGTCCGAGATTGATCCAAATTTCGATCCAGCAGACAGTAATGTTGAACAAGTGGTCAAAGAAGTTGAATTGGCAAGCTTGTATACACATCTTTTCCTGTTTGGATGGGCAATCAATGATCGACGAATTGAAAGTGTACTTGATTGGCCTAAGGTAAGTTTAACATAAAATCCATTAATAATTTGATATGAAATGATAGAATCCATTGAAATTAATAATTACCTGAATAGAAGTTGAATTTCATATCTAACGCTGGTATGAGATGATACGCCAAAAGATACCACCAATATCAGCTGATGTTGAAGAGCATGTGATGATGTTTTTACGATATCATTTGCATTTGAATTGTTAACAAGAACGAGTTAGTTATCTCTATCAATCTGATATAATCAGGGTACTTGATAATGACGGAAAAAATCCATTGAATGTTGCAAGATAGGAAGACAGTAATTGAACTTTAAAATATCACTGATTGTACAAAACTCATGATGAAGATAAAACACTAAACAAAATTTGATCATCTGTTATATTTATCCTCTTCTTTCTATCCAGGCTTATCCATATCTGCGATACAGAAAATATAAGGCAGAGCAAGAGCAATTTATCAAAAAGTATGGCGTACCAGGAGTTGAATCATGATTTTAATCACAAACCAGATTTGGATTCACGAATCAAGACTTGGAAACCAAGATTCAGTTTATGCAATTGACGACGGATAATTTTAATTCATGGTGTACACACAAATACATTTGTAATTATTCATCATCATTATTTCAATGGTTTTAATAAAAATGTGTACATGTTTATCAAAAGTTTCATCCTAAATCATTAAGAATAAATTCGGATTTGCCTTTACAATCAACAATTCTAACAGTTACCAATATCAAACATTGCATAATGGCTGAAATGACAATTCTTAATAATGTTCTGGACTTTTATATTATCATACAAAACCTTCATGAAATGAAAAATTATGTTTGATAACTTGTTGGATTTTTATTGGATCGATTATAAGAAAATAATAAAATTAAAACGGCAAATTGTATTGTCGAGAACTTGATTAAAAAGTAAAACAATTACAGTACTGCATCATATTGTAATTAGATATAATGAATAGTTGAAGCTTTATTAACAATAATTAATTTCAATTAATTGAAAAGACTGTGATAATTTATTACTTAATCGATTATTCAAATTATATTTCCTTTACAGTTGATTATTAACATTCGAATTATTGTGATAACAAAAAGGATATACGGCACAACAGTCAGTACTGAACTGAGCCTGTGTAGGAACTTGTTGAGCTTGTAGATAAGCTTGGTTAGGTTGGGAAAATTGCTGAGTCCGAGGTGGCTGAGGGGGTCGATGAGGTTGAGGGTGTTGGTATGGTTGCTGTGGTTGTTGTGATGGAAGCTGAGGTTGATGCTGAGAAAACTCTTGCGGTTGATAAGATTGCTGAGGAAGCTGTTGAGATGGTAAGTGGTGGGAATATTGTTGTTCCAAGGAAGGAGATTCGTATGTTTGGTGCTGTTGGAATTGAGATTGAACTTGATGGTATGGCTGCTGTTGAGACTGAGGTGGAGGAGTTTGGTACACTTGTTGAATCTGAGGTTGTTGCGATTGATATTGCTGGCGAGGCTGAGAAATTTGATATGAAGATTGTTGAGGCTGAACTGGCGAAGGCTGGTATAATTGATGCTGGGGTTGTGATTGTGGTTGCGGAATCTGATAGGGTTGTTGTTGAAGTTGAGGTGTTTGAGAGGGTTGAGGGGGTTGATAAGGCTGTTGCTGAACCTGTGTTGGATGTTGAGGGGGCTGATATGATTGCTGTTGCTGTGGCTGGGTTGGAAGTTGATAATGTTGTTGAAGCTGAGATTGGGCTACTTGAGAGGATTGATAAGGCTGTTGTTGAGGTTGTGCTTGGGGCTGGGACTGGGGCTGAGGTTGAAATTGTGATTGTGGCTGGGGTTGAAATTGCGGTTGTGGTTGTGGTTGAGGTTGAGGCTGGAGTTGGGGCTGAGGCTGGGGTTGAAATTGTGGTTGAGGTTGAGGTTGGGGTTGGGGTTGAATTTGCAGTTGGGGTTGAGGTTGAGGTGTAGAAGTTGGAGGAGGATGGAAAGATTGAGGTGTTATGTATGCGGAATGGTTCGGTGGATTGACTTGTTGTGCTGGAATCTGTTGATGTTGATAACTTTGAACCTGATTATTACTCACAGGGAACACATTATTGGCATAAGAATCAGGACTTGGATTATATCTTGAGCTCATATATGGCAGAAAGTCTTTTAATTTAGGGCCTCCTCTATTAGATGCCGAGGATGGAATTTCCGGTAATTTACTGTTGGACAAAGTCATTGTATTCAAGTTAAAGGTTTCCTTCTTGATTTGAGCTTCCACTAGCTGTAATCTTTCCTCGTCTTGAACTTTAATCACACTTTTCAATCTGGTCAACATCTTGTTTGTAATTGATAGAAATTCTTTATAAAACTCTAAGCCTTTTTCGATGTTATCTTTTACTTTCATAAAACCATCAAATGATGTCAAAAGCGTTTGAATTCGGTTAACTCTTAAGCGATTCACTTCATTTAATGCCATTCGTGATTTACCATAAGAAGCACTAGCTTTAGTTAAAGCGTTCAGAATATTTTCTTGAGCAGCCAAGTTTTGCTCTAACAAGCTTACTGTTTTATCGTATTTGGCCAATTCTTTTTCGAATATTGTTTCTAATTCATCTTTTGAATGAGCAATTACATGTTTTAAAACATCATCACTTTGAACTTCTTCTCGAAGTTGTTTTTCAAGGGAGGCACGTTGATTTTTCATTTCTTGCACTTTATCCAAAAGTTTTTCGATTTCCTTGATGTTGTCTTCATCAAAGGGTATATCAGTGATAGGAGGAAGGAGTCTTTCTAAGTCTTTGGCTGAACAATCAATTAATAGTTGAATATCTTTCGATAACTTTTCCAGTGCTTGGCTTAAATTTTTGTTAGCAGCTAAGCTTTTACTTTGCGTTTCCTCGTGCTTCTCTAATTCTTTACGCAATTCTCCAATAATCATAGACGGTGCTCTCTTACCGAATTTATCTTGGTGCTTTTTTTCCTTCTCTTCTTCGTCCTCAATCAAGGTTGCAGCTTGGTCAAGGTTTTTTTGGGCTTCGGAGGATATGCTGTTAAGTTCGTCCATCATTTTTTGGGTATCTTTACAAATATTAGGTTTAACACTCAATTCAGCACAAATTTCAATCAATTCATCTGGAACTATATTTGCCACAGGCCTTAAATTATCTTTATCTAGTTGTAATGATGATAAATAAGTTAAAAGTTCTTCGTCTTTATCTTCGACTTTGGTTCTCATTTCTCTAAGTATACGATCTTTGTTTTCACTGTAAACCGATGCCATTTCGTGGGCTTCGATTGGGACTAGCCGTGCAAATATATCTTTACCACAAACTTCCGGGTCGGAAACATTGAAGCCAACACCTGTAGCTAAAGGAGCACCCTTGACAGCAGTAAGTTTATCAGATGAAGGGACTGGTTGATGATAGACAAAATCATTGTCTCTTTCAGCTGTTTCCTTCTTTTTAGCCAAAGCCTTTGACAAAAGATTAATTTCAATTTTACCTAAAGATTTCGATAATTTTTCAGCTTGCTCTAGATGCTGAGTTCCTGAGATGTACCACGCAATTTGTTCACCGGTTTTCTGTTGTTCTTGACATGCATCTCCCATGTAAAGAGCACACACAGCGCTGTAATAAGATATTTTGAATTCGGTGAATTTTTTCCATTCCTCGAATAATTTAGATCCCACAATTTCAGCAATATCCATGTCAGAATTTAAAGATGATTGGATGAGAACACTAAGAGCACTATTATAATACTCTATCACCTGAGCAGCTACTCGGGCGATGATACAGTTCTTACGATTGTCCATTATTGACTTTCCAAGTATACATTCTTGTGCTTGAGCCATAACAGTTTGATAAATGAAAGCTATAATATCATGAGACATGTCTTTAGATTTGTTGTGTGGCTGTTCTTTCAACTGTTCAAAGGCCCACACCGAACACTGGAAATGAGTACAAGCTACTCGCAAATTTTCAGCATTATCTCGTAAATTAAGAGCTCCAAGCTCAGCATGAAGAGCCCCGATGTTATACATTAAACAATCCAATTCAAATTGAATATCGCCGGTCACCGGTTGACCAGAATAGACATCTTGCCAAGTGAATGTAATAGGTAGATCTCCTTTCATTATCTTAACTTTATTATAGAGGGTGTATAGTTGAGAGTAATATCTCTTTAAAGTTAGACAACCTGTCATATCACGAGAAGGACGAAGTGCAGCCTAGAGAGCAAAATTATAATTATTAGCGATAAGAAGAAATTAGAATTACTGTTGATTTGATAACTTACATTCCTCAATGCTTCAATCTCTTTAATCTCCTTGTTATATTTTTCACCATCGTCACCATAATACTCTCTGATGAACTATAGAAGAAATAAAAGATAAGAATAAAACAGAATCAGAAAGCTGTCAAGATAGAGGTAGAGAAAAATAAACAACTAACCTTTTTAATTGGAGTTGAAATGTCAGCTGTTGAAGGGCTTAGTTTGAATTCAAAATAAACCATAGGAAGCCTAGGATATTCCTTCATTGTTGACAATGATGTCCACAAAATTTAAACTTGAAAAGGCAATAATACAGGTTAATTAATATTGAATTGGACGAGAGCTATTAAAGAGGAATTTGTTAAGCCTCAGTAAACATAAACGTTATGATAGCATACCTAGACTCAGATCCGATTACTATGGATATAAATATCAGATCCATTGATCAAAAGTTTTCCTTATTATATTTTTATATTTACAGTTAAATTATTAATCAGTGATTTGCTTCATCTGGATTCATTATTAGGTTGAATAGTTGAATTGGCTGTAAATTCTTGTCATTCCAATAGTGAGAATACACTTTTTCTGTATGCTTTGGATCAAGTTATATTTCTTAACTCAATTGATTTGTTTCATGATTGATCAGCGAAAAGAAATGCTTTCATAGCCACCATTTTGAATTCAAATAAATCTGAGCAAACCAATAAACATTTTGTCAGTCAAGATTATTAATTTAACTCTTTCACAATTTAAATTAGCGATTTTCAAGCATTACGTTGTATATCCATGTGTATGCGTTCAATGTTGTTTACGTAATAAACAATTTTAAATTTCGAGACAAAAAACATGTTTTCAACATCAATCAACCAGATTTTTATTTACACAGTTAAATTAACAGACTAACAAGTTTATCGGTAAGCAAATTGCGTACATAAATAACACACTTTTATGCTTCTTAATGTAACTTCCATAAGGTAAGATGTAAGTAACTCTTGATTTTAAGAAATATGGGAAAACATTTGAGCTATTTTTTAAATAGAAACTTAACCGTCAAAATTTTAAACACATTTCTAAATTTCAAAGCTTTCATGAATCCAGCAAATAAATTGAAGGAACTCAATCAATTAAAAAATCAAAAAATTGTCCTTTTCTCTTCTTTGGATAAACACAAGAAATTGATTCACTGATTAAAAATACGAGTTGATTATTTACAAGAGTGTTTCAATGAAATCAGAAGTTATTGACACTGAAATTCATGATATTTGAAATAAACAGGGATATATTTAAATCGGTAAATTGTTTTGCTTATTTAACTGTAATGATAAAAGCTAACAGTAATGATAAACAACTTTCATGATCTGGATAAGTGTGGCTTATAGCTTAAATGGCTTAATAACTGCGCTTATCTTGGCAATCCTTATTTTCAACATCTGACAAAGAGTGAGTCTTTCCATTCTGAGATGGAACCTTTTTTTTATCATGCTTAATGTGTTTTTTGTAGATAATTGAGCAAAATTAACTTTGCTAAACAAAAATTCATTTTTTATATAAATAACAACTTGTCTCTCTTTAATAAACTTGCAACTTCTTCAATCCTTTATATTTGAAACTGTAAACTTGAACCATTAATCATAATTATAGTTTTTGTTTTCTGTACCCATTTCCATCTTTACCATAGACCGACACAAAAAGAAACCATTTACAGTTGTAAAAGTGACATAATATAAAATACATGTGTGCATCATTTTGTTTTTTACCCGTTTGTTTACCTGTCGCCTGTTTCGGAAATGTATATCACAATTAAACCTTGCTCATCAATACGGATATCCCATCAATTAAACAGCCTGTCCGGTGATTACAGAAGGAATATGTTTTAACAACAAATGCAACACTCGTATACACCATTGAACCCATCCTTAATCTCTTCACATTAAGTTTTCTTATATTTTTTTACATTTAATTGTTTTCACTTTCATGAATTGATCATCGATACTTATTTTCTTTAGTCATACTTCTCGTGATAAAACATATTTGTAAAGTTATGTGCCAACATTGGCTTTTCAGCAGCTCAAATTATTTGGTGACATAACTGTTTCTTTTTTTGATAACTAAAAACTATTTTAAATAATCTGACCATCACACCCGTTGTCAGTGAACATGTGGTTGCTTCTCCTGTTGATCAGGGGCCTTATATTTTTCTCATTTTTTTCCATATCATCGAGTGCTTTGTCCGTCAATAAGGAGTCAATCATATCAAAAAATGGAAAGGATATTGCCATTGAAGGAAGTGGTTCAATACCAACAAATGAAATATTAAGTGATGATGAAGATTTTTACCCAGATTTAATGAAGCCTGGTAGTCATCCCTCGCCAATGGAATTTTCTGGTGATGGCTCATTGGATCATAATGATCATGAAAATATCCCTGGTAGTAACAAGGGTCACACTAGTATAACCTCAGATAAACATAATCCTGGTGATGACGAGGATGATGGTGACAATGAGGACGATGAAGATGATGATGACGAAGACGATGATGAAGGATCAGGAGGTAATTTTTATTTTGCATGTTCACTTGATTTTCTTAACATTTATACCATATCTTGAGGCCTTTCTAAACTTTCAAACTAAATATTCTCAGCATTACTTGCAACTAAAACTTTCAATAACCTTAAATTTTGAATAGTTTTTTAATTATTACATCAAGCTGGTGATTCGTTTGTCACCATCAATTAGCTTTTTTTTATTCTCAACAAGCACTCTCATGTTTTCATGCTGTTTATCATGGTAACTTTTCTACACTCTTTGGAATGTAGATTTCATTACATCTTTTACATTTCTAGTGTTTTCTTATGTTTCTATAGTTCTATTAGTTGAGTGTTGTTGTTAATGATCTTTTCAGGGAAAAAGTATTTTGCTTGTGTAAAGTCTATTCTCTCTTAATTTTCTTTTCAACTTCGTTCCATGTGATTGCCTCTTCTACAATGTAACTTGGTTTTTTTCTTTTCTCCAGATTCACCAATAAAAGTAACGAATGGAGGCTCCGATTTTTCATTTTCCACCAAAGAAACTATCACAGATGATGATCACTTGAAGCCATATGATAAAAAACCAGATACAACGGTGAGTATACTCTTTGTCAATTCTGTAAACAAAAGTTAATCTATTTTCTTTTTTTTTATAGATTAATGAATCAGATGAATCTGAGGAAAAACATAATATACCTATTGATGAAGACGAATCCTCCAACAAAAATTTCTTCCCAGATGTTATTGAAACATCAACTAAACAGCATAAACCAAATCACGATATTGACCATGAAGATCATGATCAGGATCCAAATACTCTGGGAAATGATATTTCATTATTGGGACGCAAGCAAGATACAAGACCTGTTTCATTCTTCGCCCAACCTAGCATGTTAGCAGGTATGATGATCTCTCTCAAACGTACTCTTTTCATCTCTCTTCCTTTCTGATACACACACACACTCACCCAACATACACTCATTTTATTTCAATTTTGGGCTTACCTAGATTTGTAAAACCTGTTAATTGTGTTCAATCACTTTGAAGTAGTTTGATAGTAAATATTTACTCTTAAGAACAGATGACGACAGAAAAATTAGAAGAAAAAGAAATGAAACTCAATTACAGTTATTACTAATTAAAAGACTTGTAAAGGCACCAACTTCTTCAAGTCAATCTAATATTTTCTCAAGAGTTTTCTGACTGTATTCACATCTTTAATTTATCATTTTGTAGCTGTTGATTCAAGTCTTGTCGGTTTATTCAGTTCTCTTTAACACTCTTGATTCGACCATATTTTCCAATTGAATGATTTCCACCTCTATTTCTTTTCCATCATTTTCATCTTCAATCTTCTCAAAAGTCTTCTTTGTTCTCTGTTGCCTCTTCTTCTTCTCCCTTTCTCCCTCTCTTTCTACAATCTACAAGCTCATCTTTTTCATCTTCATATTTCTTCATCCTAAGCTCTTCCTGTTTTCCTTCTGAGCTTTATGATGTAGCTTAAGACATTTACGCTTGGTATTTAAAGAAGGCACGCCAGGAATGAATATGATTTCGGTAGGTTTTTCCTAGTTAAAAAAGCAATCTTCATCAATCAGACTCTTAAGTTTTGTTTACATCATTTTGATCAGCGAAATCTCTTGTTCCCTGTGGTTGACCAGAGTCAGATTTTAGTCCAACTTTAATTTACATTTTTTTACAGCCAAATTAAGATTCTTAAATCAGTTTTATGTTATGCTTTTTTGACAATAAAAGTGGAAATTTGTTAGTCTTAATGACCGGTGCCTTATTATGGTCATTCCGATAAAAGTTAAAAAAACAGTTGGTTGTCCGATGAAACGACCTTAACAAGCAGCAGGGTTTCTTTCATTAGCTCTTTTCTCCTGATTGGTGAATAGTCAGACATTTTCAACATGTCCGAACATAACAACAAAAGGAACGAACCATGATTAACTTGGAAATAATTGTTGAAAATTAATGAGTCAAAGATATCATTTAACTGATGATTATTGAGTGAGCCTACATCAATTTTTGCCATCATTTGCGTCTCATTTTGAATTTTTAAAACAGATTGGTGGACATCTTTTTTCAACTACTTAAATAAATGGAGTCAGGTTAACTTGAATTAGTTAAAAAGATTGACATTAACATTCTGTTTAAAATCAGAGGTGGGTGACAGTCTTTAAAAAAAGAAAGTGAAAAAGAAAGATTGGGATGAAACAGACGAAAATTTTATTTCCACTCTTACTCATCCTTGTCAACGTTCAGCTTATTTTTCTTGCTAATTTAGCCCGACTTTTGTTGAAATTCAAAAACAAGATGTTCTTATTTGTCTCTCCTCAATTTATCTAGAATTGGTAACCACCAAACTGAGAATAAGATTTTTTTGTTGAACAAATTTTATTTCAACTGATCTTTCTTATATAAAACAAGGAAAGTTTACAGTTGAATAGAGATGCATACTTTTATTCAGTTTTGCGTATAAAGAGACTGAGAACTTGTTTGCCAACTTATCTACTTTTCTGAATAAGGTTCTATAAGTTGAAAAGCATAGATAGCGAGAAGCAGATGAATAGATTTGTAGAAGTAAAGAGAGATAAAGAGAATGATAAGTATATATTGAAAAACCTTAAAAATCTGAACTTTTGCGGGCGTTATCTTGAATTAATCTGCCATTTTGGAACGGGATGTATTCATAAACTTGGCGTGTAATTCTGATTGCCCTAGAAAATTGTAATAATTCTTGATAACCTGACAAACTTGTATTAATGTCTCTATAACTGAACGTCCATTTGTGATTTGTTTTGTAGCAACCATATTTCACCATACTTATTCATCTATCATATATTTAGTCTAAATCAATTTTATTTATAAATTCCCACAAGCAATCGACAAAAATTTCTATTATCCGATCGATCATCAAGTTTTCTAGTCTCAACTTTGAACTTATCTTTTTACAACTTGTTAGATAACTCATTCGACATAGTTACTAATAAACTTGTATGAGTTATTTCCTCTATTGATTTTATCCAATTTAAAATTTAATTAAACCATAAAACTGTATCATCATTATGTCTAAAAATATGAATCATAAATAATCTGTATTGTGAATCTCAGCCCATTTCATCACTCCCCCGCTATTTATGTCTTAATTAATTCACTTTATTAATAACGTTCTTTTTCTCTGTCTCTTTTCAGCTGTAATTGGAGGTACTGTTGTAAGTTTATTGTGTGCCATATTATTAGCCATGTTTATAATTTATCGAACAAGGAAGAAATACGAAGCAAGCTATATCTGTGAACCCAATCTAACATCGCCGGTCATTAGTCATTACGGAAAGGGAAGCAGCAACAAATTTTTTGACCCAGAATAAGATGTTTTTCATACGAAACAAATGTAATTTTAACCTGGAGATTTTTGTGAAAAGAAAATGGAAAGTCGAAAAAAAGATTAACTCATCATTTTGAGTTGAATTCAAAAATACTTTTCTTACACTGCTTTCTACTAACTCTATGCTAATCTCTTGTATCTTTTTACTCTTTTTTGACAACTTCTAACTCTGCTCTTCTATTCTATCTTCATCTCTTTTCTTCTCTTCACTTCCTCTCCATTTCTCTCTTCTCAATTGCTCATATTCACACTTTCACATCCATTTGTATTCTTATTTGTTTATGCCAGTGATGATAATCATCACCATCCAGAGATATTCAGTTACCTGTCTGAGGTACCCTAAAAGATGCTTTTGTATCAGTTAATCAACTTTATTTACGACACACAGAAAGCATTTCAACCAGCACCAATATCAACCACAATATCAACCTAATTTTGGAAACAAACGAGAAATCTACTGAATCGACATGTTTTTTATATTATATCAAGATAATTGAATACATGATTCTAATGTGAAAATATTAAATTTATTATTATTGATGTCTGATAGCAACTTTCTTTAAACTACTATGTAGTAAAATCAATACTAACATTGCATATAGTCTATTATTATATTATATTATATATATAAACACTTCTTTATATATATCAAATGATAATTTTACAAAAAAGCGATTCTTCACATTCTTTCTAATAAATGAAAGCGTTCTGAGGCGAGACAAAACAATTACTAATCGAAAATATCAAACTACGATATTAGTTAGATGAGACAACAGTATAAGATGCTTCCTTGGAACTTAATGGAATACGTTTACGGGCTTCGTCCTCGGTTTCCCATAAGATTTTTTGTTGATGTTGATCAATTATATCATTAACACGATCAAATAACATCTTTTCTGTTAAAATGCCATCATATGAAGCATACGCTGAGGCCTATGATAAAAATGGAAGAATAAGTGTTTACAATTAAATAGGGACAAGAATAAAATTTGAAACCGATTAGAATATTAAGTGAATTTGAAACCAATTGATTGAATTGCTTACCTGCCAAGCTACACCTAATTTAGATATTTCACGACCAGATAAGCCGTCGGTCATTTGAGCGATTTTGGAACAAGAAGTAACAAAATCAAATTGTTCCACTTTAAGACGTCTGTTTAGTAAGATAAGAAAAATAAATAAAATTAATAATTATTTTCAAGTGTTACAGAAAAATTGATCAACAGAATGTTGGAAATTTAAAGTTTACCTTTTTCTTTGGGCAGCTGGTTGAAGAACAAATTTATCGAAATAAAGTCGGACTAGTCTTTCACGTTCTTCCAAAGTTGGTAATTGAAATTCAACTACTTCATCAATACGATCATTTACCGCCCAATCAAAATGTTCTGGTGTATTACTGGCCAAGACCATCATAAATTTAGTAGATTGTTCACCGGTACGGTAAAGGAAGGCATTCAATGTTGCCCTCATGTTTTCGGACATGTTAATTGAACTACGTTTTCGAAGAAAAGCGTCAGCTTCGTCAACAAATAATAAAAGTCCTCTGCGCGAAGTATTGGCCCAATTGAATACTTTATGAATAGCTGTGACACCTTCTGCACCCATGGGAGTAACATCACCTCCACTGAGTATAGCGTAATCCATACCAGAATGTTGGGCCAATTTTTTGGCAAACAAAGTCTTACCAGTACCAGGGGGGCCATAGAAAAGTATATTTCTATAATAACCCTGATTCCTTTTGGTGTTCCTAGTGGCAATCGCAACATCCCGCAGTCTTTCTTCTAATGAAGGTCTTAAGATTACCCCTTTTAAAGCGTCTTCAGGTTTTCGACTAATAACTATTCGTTTGGTTGTATCTACAGGATGTCTTACCATGTCAATTGCATTTAACCTTGACGTGTCACGAACTAAAGATGGTTTACCAATCCTTGACTCTATACTACGGCCAACGATACTGATACCGTATTTAGCTGAATAGATACCGGCAGCAATTAACGTTAAACTAGCTGCTGTTGATGTGACCCTATCCCAATCAGAGATGAATCCTTTGAATCCTTCACCTAAAACTTGTCCGGCGGTTCTAATGGATTCTAAAACTGTGACCCTTTGTTCAGCTGCTTTCACTTTTATTTGTTCAAGATATATATCACGATTTTCTCTTTCCACAATTGCTTTAGCTTTCATTTCAGCTTCTATCCTTTTTGTATCATTTTTAGACCTTAAATCCATCTCGTGTTCAATTGTTGCTTTCCTCATTGCTTCTTGTTTAGCTACTGATTCTTCTTGGCGACGCAAATTTTCATCATTGGCTCGCTGTTGTTGAATCAGTTGATCATCATATCGTTTTCGAGCCAATTGATCTTGATATTGAGCTCGAGCTTGGTGTTGTTTAGTTTCTTCAGCTAAAGTTTTCCTCCTTTCTTCATAATCAATCCTTTTCTGCTCTACTTTGGCTTGCTCCAAGGCTGCTTCATATTCTTTAAGTTTAGACTGTAATTCCATCTGTTTTGTTGATTCTTGCATCTTGGAAAGTTCAAAGGCCTGTTTTGCGTACACAGACTTTTCTAATTCCTTAGCCGCTGCCGCAGCACGTTCCAATCCAGTGGAATCAAAATTGAAACCCTTAGGCACAGAGAAACCTTTATCTTTACCATCCTTGTCACCGCTTCCCTCAGTTCCACCACCAACAGGGAAACCAGGAGGAACATTCTGGTCCCCAGATGAACTTCTCGAACCAAATAACCAAGACATTTGATTGACACTTACAACAAACTTATAATTTACACAATTTAATTCACAATCTCAAAACAGTTTACTACCAAACACGTGCTTCAGGTTAAACCGCTTCAAAGCTTCATATTAAAGATCACCGGCAACTTACTCCATCTAACGAGAACCAGATTTACAATTGTTAGATAAAAACTTATTGAAAACATTTGAAAAAATGAATCAATTTACTAGACACATTTTTTCATTAAATATTCAAGAATTTATCAATTTGCATATTAATTAATTTTTAAGATCCTTTTGCTTCAAAACGAACAAATTGTGCAAATTTTTTGATGCAATGACTTTACAATGTAGCTTCAAATTACTTGTGATGGAGGCAAAATATCTGACAGTATACGATAGAGACAATTGAATTAAAGATTATTTAAGATGTAGTCAGATGTTATCAAGAAAAGTAAGGTAAAAAGAACAATTAAGGTCAAAATATATAATAACAGTATGAGTAAATTACATGGATAAAACAAATGGCTAACGTTACTGATATTGATGTTAACGAATGTGACTCAAATCCGTGTTTAAACAATGGAACCTGCACTGATTTGATTAGAGATTATTTATTTTCATGTAGAGCTGGTTTTACTGGACGAAATTGTGAGACAATCACAGAACTTGATAAAGCTTTGATGAATTTATTTCACATTTTTATCATAACAATCGTTTCAATGGTCAGTTTTAGTTATGTGGTAAGTGTTTTGGTATTCATTTTTGTAAGGAAGACACCCAATGAGGATAGAAGCTTTCAATCAATAGCAATGCCTGTTCATAACCAAGATGAACCTTCAACAACCAATTCAAAGACCGACACATGAAATGGTATAAATAAGATCATAATGTTTTCTGGCCAAAGGAGCTTCAAAAAAAGGATCTAATCATCATGAAAGCCTGTTTTGGGGAAAAAATTCTCAAAATTCCTTGATGATTATGCTTTTTTGGAAACAACTAAATTCTTTAATTTATGTGTGACTATTAAATTGATTGTTAATATCATGTTTTACAAAGATCGACAGTGAAAACATGTTACTCTTGCATGTGAATAATTTTTTGTTTGTTTTTAAATCCCAATTTGTGGATTAAATTGGAACATATTCTTGAGAATCAGTTTGAATACAATCAAATAAATAAACTAAGTTGATTTTTTACGAGCCAACCGTAGGTACGTGTAATCATCTATCAATATAATGTTGATGTTTGAATTTAGTGCATAGTTGTGATTATCTGATGGAAAAGTTTATCAAGAGCTTGAATAATAACTTTAACATTATGGTGAAAATTTCCGAATTCTTGCTTAAATTTATCTCTTCTTATCAACCTTCTATTGGAACTTGCTTCAGGATTGTTATCGGAGTGTTTCCAGACATCGGGTTCGATTGAGTTAAACATCAACCTGTTGCTTTGAAAATAAGTAGAGAATAGTATCTTTAAATAAACAGGACAATTAGACTTTTGAATAACATGAATGATCTGAAAAGAAATATGATTATAACATTAAATATCATATATTGATAAATATATTAGAGATGAATAAAGTCAATGACAATATGATAAGATATAAACTAAATAAAATGAAAACAAGTTGAAAGAGCAAATATGTAATTATACAATGATGAACAGCTGACGGGTAAGTTAACTTAAAGAGTTGTTGCACTATTGGTGGATAAATGATATGGTAAATTGAATGAAATGAGTTGAAATGAATTGAATCACGCATGGAATGACAGGAAGATGAAGATGATGATGGAGAAACTGACCACCGCCCAAATTTTGATAAAGAAACAGGTAAAAGTCAAGACAAGCCCAAGGATCCAATTTAAGTTTTCCTTTTTTTGAATTTACGGTAAACGTTATTATTATTTCTTTGAAAATGAACGATATTCTGTTTCTCTCATTATTATGCAAAACGCAACAACAGGAGAAAAAAAGTGAAATAACAAGTTCCCTCCGAATCTCATGTTTCATCAGCATGGGAAATTGAATGGCTCAAGAACATGAATCTTATTTTTCTTCTTCTTCATCCTCTCCTGCTGGTAAATAGTTTATATCTGTATTCCATTATATTGCTCTGTAACCATCAATTAAATATATATATATTACTTGATACACGTTTGCTTTTGATGGTGTTATGACTTCCGATTGGCCTCACTCTGGTTCTGACCATTCTTGGTGGATCAGTTTACACTTGATGCTACCCTTTATCAAAATCCTGGTTGAAAGAGACAAAAGATATCTTGGTTATAATATTACATAATTAAGATTGGGAATAAATTTTATAATTGTATTGAAGTGGCCAAGTATGAAATTACTTACCATTATGATTGTAGTGCTTGTTTAACTTTTGTTTACAATGAAATGAGTGGATAAACATCGGTCATTACTTGTATACTTGAATTTATGTGTAGACGTCCATTATCAGCTGTTGTTGATTCTCATTCAATTTCTTTTTCCTTCTTTTATCATTATCTTATGATTCAAGTTGACTCTTGATTTTATTTCCTTGTTGAACACTGATTAACTTGTCACCATCTCCTAATTTGTCAAAAGAAATACCTTTTTTAAGTTAAGCTCGGCTGGTAATAATGCTAAGAAATAGCTTCTATGGTAGCATTGAGTTATAACTCAGGTTCCTGGTATAATTATTAACAATTTTCCTTCTTCATGTTGTTGTTTCATGACCATGATGATGATCATGTTGATGATAAAGGTGAGTTGAGTACAATCATTATAAATATATTTAAGGTGTGAGAAAAAGGTAAGAAAAAGTGATTGATAAAGTTTACCAGAAAAGCACCAAGAAAACAGAAGTATACTTTTCTTGTTAGTTACCATCCGTGAACATAATTGGATGTTTAGGATGATAATAGCGCGCAAGATGAACAAGTGAATGTAATATTTTATGGTCTAACTGGTTTAACTGTCCTCTCATCTGGACTTGAAAACTTGAGATCCATCAATCAATTTATCATCAACAGGTAACCGTCAACAATCATATTTCCTAAATCAACTTTAATCACAATCCTTTCCTCAATTTTACCTCAATAAAAACCTTGTTTCTCCACAATTAGCAAATCTATCTTTCATTACCATTGTTATCCTTTTCTTTTCACTGATGATAAACAATTTATAAATCTTTTCACTCTGTCCTTGAACAACAATGCAAGTTGTTGATTAAATTTTGCAGTTTGTTGTTCAATTCACTTGGAAATACCTTAAACCAGGTGAACCTCTAATTTTGAACTAAACGCTCAAAAGTTGAAATGTTGAGATTGAAAAATTGTTGCCTTATAATAATAATACAATCATTGAAAGATATATCAACATTGACCGTTAATCAGTTTTAAGGTGGTGAAAAAAATGTAACAATAAGCAGTTGTGATTACCTGAGATGGCAAAAGTATTTCTTGCTTGCGGTTTTTCATTGTTAGTTAAAGTTAATCAACAATGATTTTGTTTTGATTTGCTTCATTTCATACAAATTTCACTTAAAATTTAATTCATTGCTTCGTTTATCTCAAGTTAACCAGAAAAATATAAAAACAAACCAGAAATCATTCCCTAACAAGCATTAACAATAAGATGACAGTTGAACATTGTTCAAATCAGTTGATCAAATCATGTTGAACTTTATAAACATTAGAGTAATCAAAGTTTGCTTTAAATTTATTTACAAATGTTTCCCATAAATTGGTAATGCAATCACATGAATGCGAATAAAAAAGTTAAATTTCTCAGCTTTTTTAATCCTTTTTGTAGATTAAATGAGATCAGGTTCATGAGAATCGTTTGAATACATTTGAATAAGTGGAAAACCATTTGATGATTTACCTGAAAGACGAGCCAGTCGTTAATAAATTATTATAGGAATGATTGAGTTGGATGCATAGTTGTGATCATCTGGAAGAAGTGTTCATAATAACAATGAACTTGAATAATAAGTTGAACATTTATGGTGAGAATCTGGAAGTTGCTTTAAAGTTTTTTCTTTAAATCAACCTTTCTCCTGGAGCTGGCTTTAATATTGCAATCGGAGTGTTTCCATACATTTCATAGATTGACGGTGAATAAGTGCCTCGAGTTGATCTAGCTTTTTTCACAGTCCTAACAAGAAGTAATGATAATATTAACAGAAGTACAACCAAAACGCATATTAAAGTAACTAAATTAACAAAAACAGGATCCATTGGAATCCTGATCATCATTTGAATTTCACAGAAATCTCCTGGTGAGAGTTGAAAAAACGATGGGAGAGAAAAATTACCATGATTAGAATATTTACAGTAATTGGTTTTGAAAAATGAAATACAATTGAAAACAAGTAGCCGTTGGAAATATTGTAATGGCGTTAGAAGAGAAACATTTACCCACCTTGAAATTCTTCCGAACATTCACATCTATACGAGAGAGACGGCCGCTCAGTGGTACAGTTACCACCATTCAAGCATGGTGATGATGCACAAGCATCATAGAGTTCAGAGCAAGTAGGACCAGAATAGCCTTCCATACATTGGCATGTGAAATCATCAAAGAAGTTTTCACAGGTACCATTGTTCAAACATGGAGACAAAGCACATGGATTTATTTCGCTATCACAGTCTTTTCCAGTATAACCACGAGCACAGGAACACGAATAATTATTGGGTAAATTATTACAAGTACCATTGTTTTGACATGGGCTCGATAAGCATTCATCAACATCTTTATCACATGTTTTACCTTCCCATCCAGATGCACAGTGACACGAGAAATCATTGTGTAGATCCTTACAGGTCCCTCCATTAAGACATGGATTAGGTAGACATTCATCTGTTACATTTCCACAATTGAATCCTTTGTATCCGGCTGGACATTTACATTGATAACTGGCAACTTTATCAATACAAGTACCTCCATTTAAACATGGATTCTGGGCACAATCATCGATATCGGTTTCACAATTTTTACCCGTAAAACCACGAGGACATGAACATGAATAATCTGCTATACCATCAACACAGGTACCACCATTTTTACATGGTCGTTTAGCACAGTCATCTTTGTTTATCTCACAATGAGGTCCTGCAAAACCCTTTTTACAAGTACATTTGAAATCGTTACCATTGCTCTCACATTTTCCATTATTTTTACATGGTCTAGTTGCACATGGTGGAAGTGGTATATTACATTCAGGACCTGTGGAAGATTAATAAGTTTAAATAGTTTAAGTCAATCAGTTTAATCAATGAAAACTAAATTATTTTTCTAAAAATTTACCTGTATAGTCTTGTCTACAATGGCATGTATTATTCATACAAATACCATAAATGCATTGCTCTTTTACACAAGTTTTATCTTGACATAATATTCCTTCGAAACCTGCATGATTGAAAAAATGAAGAATTTAGATTAGCAGAGATTCAAATAGTTCATAAAAAATTATAAAAACTAAGAGTAATTAACAGCAATTATCAATCCCATAGAATCAAACGTTACTGATATCCCTTGAGTGAACACAGCTGGTCCATCTTTTGCTACCTTAAGCGGGTAAAATTCAATAGCTTATTTCAAGTTTATATCAACTCACCATTTCCACAGATACATTCAAATCCATTTATAAGATCATTACATGTTCCATTATTTTGGCATGGATTAGGCAAACATTCGTTTATATTTACTTCACAGGTATCACCAGAGAAACCAGGAGGACAAGAGCATTTAAAGTTGGAATGATGAGATGAACATGTGCCACCGTTGAAACACGGGTTAGAATCACAAGGGTTACTTTCATTTTCACATCGTTCACCCTTCCAACCCGGTAAACATGTACAGGTAAAACCATTCAATTTGTCATGGCATGTACCATTGTTAAGACACGGAGATATGGCACATTCGTCTATATCATCCTGACAAGAAGACCCAGTGAAACCAGATTTACAAAAACACTCATAATTTGACTGGTTACCTGGTTTCGCACAAACACCATGTAAACAAGGAGGTGAACATTCGGAGTGGTTAGTAGTAATTGTATCAAAACATAAACAAAAGTTGGACAGAAGAGTTGATAAAAAACAAATTATTAACAAATTAGAATAAATTGAAGCACTCATGGCTTTCAAAGACTATCTCTTAAGGCGTAGAGACACAAAAGTTAAAGAAACATGGATTAACTTTAAACACAGTGACGGTTAAAGATGTCCACAGGTACAAAAGTAACTCAGGTGATTACCAAGTTGGTAACCAACCTGACTTTAACCAGGAAACCGGTAACCACATGGGCAATGGCCTCAAAGCTTAACTCTGGTTACTTTTCACTTCGACCATCAAACAAGAGTAAAGTTTAACAATGAAAGACTTTCATTTAGGACTCATTTTATCACACTGGTTAGAGTTAATCAATCAATGATTTTATTTAATCTTATCTAACAAAAATTTAAAAACCAGTATCTCTTGAATTTTGCCTTATTTTACTCCGTTTATCTCAAATTAACTGGCAAAATGTAAAGTCTGTAAACAACCCAAGAACCAGAAATCATTTGTTAACAATAAGATGGCTTTTTTTGAAAAAAAATCAATTGTTTATTGTTCAAAGACAATCTACTTTAATGAGTTAAATGAACTTCACGTTTAGTTTATTAACCAGCGTTATAACTCACATCACTTTGGATCAATGGAATCAATTGAAAGAAACAAAATAAGACACATTTCCAGGTGATTTTTCCGCTTCTTAAAGCTTGATTCAAAGGGACTTTTGGGACCAAAAGTCAAGTAGTGGACTTGATATAGACATCTGGACTATTGTATTACATTCAATAGGACAGGAAATTGTAACTTAAATCGCAAGATATTGAGCCAATATTGAAAAACTGTCGGCCTAACAATTACTATAGACATTAATCATGTCGCGAGGAGGATAAGTTTGCCTTTCATTTCTTAAAGATCACAATCAAAAACTCCCAATCCATATGCGAATGAACCCAAAGACCACAAATTTTAATTCAGTTATTTTAAATCAAACAGACTCTGTATTTGAAACAGTGTTTTAGACTCAAATCACTTTAAAATTCAAATCTATTGAAAAAATGAAACAAAATAACAAAACACATTTCCGATTCGGTTTAATCAACTATTCCAACCCGAGCAAACGTTTGAATTGAAACACTCAAATCTTTAACCAGATAATTGTACAAAAACCTTTATCAATTTGATTTTTACCAACAATCCGAGATTAAACAGCTTATCTCAAGGATAGATTCTGATGATCGAGAAAAAACACTGAATAATTTCCAGTAAGTCTGATTTTTACCGGAAAATTAATATATTTCATCTGTTCATTAAAGTAATCATGATGATGTCAATAGATGATTCACAATCATTGCTATCTCAAGGCAAATTGTGATCACCTTGGTATGAATCATCCTATTAATCAATTTCTTGAAGCTCACATTCCGGTGTAATAACAATTATGATTTTTATCTAAATACATTTACTTATCATCGTGATTACAAAATAATAATCAGTTTAAATTGTTAAATTGTTGATGAAGATAAAAAAAAATGAAAACAAAAATGTATTTCATTTTTCATAAAGCAAAAGGCTTTCTTTATAAGAACCAGAAAATGACCTTCCTTTTTTCTGGTTCAAACAACTCAAATTTTCAATCATTCTGATTAACTGTCATAAATTGGCCTTGATAATTCAGTTTGACATAACCAATGAGAATAAATACAATCAACAATCATCTAAATTGTGATAAGGTTTGGGTAATTGTGTAAAAAGTAGATAATGTGTCAAGTGACCCGATTTAGACTCTTCAAGACCAATCAAGATGATGATAATGATGATGATGATTATGATGAAGCTAATTCACCTTTTACTTGACCAGTCCAACAAGCAACAATAAACAAGTTAAAGCAATTATGTTTCAAGAAACTGTTCAACTCTTTAGCTTCATCCATCCTTACATTATTTAACTTCATCAGTCTCATCTTGCTATTATTTTTGCCAGATAAAATCAGCTAAACAATCAGTAAATTTAAGGTTTACTTTGAAAGGTTAATTGTGTTGAATGTAAAAATGAGAAATCAAAAAATGATTAAAGTAATTCAGCCTTTCTTCATTCATATTGTTTCTCATTTTCAACAATTTGTCTTGCTTTCCATATTAGTCTTGAGCTTAACAAGCAAAACAAAAAGCCAATCCAATTGTTATCAACAATTTAAACGTTATATTGATAACCAGTTAACATTTGGTCACAATTTAATTCAATATTATTATTCCCTTAACCACTCCTTGAGATTTAAAGGTTTTCATTTAATCACAATTCCATTAACAACCGAATCTGAAATCTTACTTTTTGTATTCAAAAAATTCTGAATCTAAGGGAACCAGGAAAAAGTGAAATCTTATTTTACAAGACGACATTGAAATCTCCATGAATGACCAAATAGAGAAGTGAATAATTTATTAAATTGTATTTCACGAAATAAATTGTTGATGATAAGGCCTGAGTATAAGGCCTTTTGATCCGGCGATTGATCGCTATGGATCCAGTTTTGTAAATCACCAGATAACTCTAAGATTGAGCTTTCACGATTTGATCTGTAATTGGTTTGCAATCGGTTAATATTGCTTTAATGAATGTTTAATATTTTCAACAATCAAATTGAGTTGTTACCTTATTTTGATTTAACCTTTCCCATTTTAAAGGATAATTTTACCATTAATAATCTGAAAAATTTACACCAACTTGTCAACATCTGAATAACAATTTATTTAACAAGGTAAACATTAAGCCATTTTCTGATTCCTGTTAACCATCAATTGTAAATCAAGTTAACCTTAATATGGATTGTCAAACCTGTAAATTGATTAAAAAGTGTGTGTGGATGAAAAGTTTTGCTTCAATCTCGATTGCTTTGATAATTTTGAATCATTGTAAACATGAGAAGCTTGAAATGCTCACAATTGTCAATTGAAATAATCTTTTTCATTCTTATCTAACACTTAAATTGTGAATCAGGAATCATCTTTTCATCAGTTAATCATTGTTTACTTACAATGAATGGCAATTAATATCACTAGTTTTTAGCACCTTTCATTGATATATCAACAGATTCACACCTACATCTTTATGGTTAACTCATTCATTGATTGACTACTTTAAACTAATTTAGATCCATCGTTAAATGATATTTGATTAAAAGTGCATCTTTAAATTGATTACACGATTGTTAAAAAGATTTCAGTTCTTTCTTTCAAATGAAATTGGGTTGATCATGATGATGGTTAAGATGAACATCAGCAAGTACAAAGATGACCACTCACCTCCACCATCATATTGATGAACCAACCAGATTGAACTAAATTGTTGACCAGTATTGAGTTAAATCGTGTTTTTGTTTTCTTCAACAATTGATATGTAAATGATTGGTAAAAGAGAAAGGTTTATGTTAAAGTGAACAAAAAAGATGTTCTTTTGTTAATTTAGATAATAATTAGTGTACAAAAATTGAATTGCCTTGTTGTATTGTCATTTTGACTAAATTTTTTACACTAAAGATACAATCAATAGGCTAGTTAATTAATAAATTAGCTAAGGCGTCGCTGATTGGTGATGAGTTGATGAATGGATTTGATTGTTGAGATTGATGATCATTACAATGAGCATATATTCAATTGTTGTGCATGATTGGTCAAATTACATTGTCATGGATTTAAAAAAAAAGAGGAGATGGACAGTATTTCTTGTCATGTATAAATTGAAATTTACATAAAAATATATATATTTATAAATTAATGGTCTAATTCATCAAAAAAAGTATCAGCTATTTGATCAAAATTGGTGGACCTTTTTTTGGAAGATGATGCAAATTGATGAATAAGTTTTGGAAATAACTTACAATTGTATCAATAATGGACGGAATTGATAAGAAGTAATAGAAAATGTAAATTAGAAAAAGTTATCTGCCTAAATTAATCTCTCTTCTGGAGGTGGTTTCAAGATTTCACTTGAAGAGTTGCCAAACATTTCCTGGGTTGAAGGTGAATAAGTGCCGCGAGTTGCTCTTGCCTTTTTAACACTTCTCACAAAGAGTAGGGTCAATATTAATAAGAGCACAACCAGAACGCAAATTAAACTAACCACGCTAATGAATACTGGATCCAGTGGATTTTGAAGCATCATAAACTTTTCACATGATCCTCCTGAAGGAATGTAAAAACAAAAGAGAAAAATATTAGAATATTGATTGACAAACAGATGTTGGGAAGTTGACAGTTTTTTGTAAGTGTCTTGCTGTTTTTGATGGGAATATTGAGCGTAACAAGATAAATCATGCAATGAAATAGATACACATATAGTGATGTAGACAGGAAAAGATTAGAAAAATAGAGTGAGAAATTTAATTGTCCGGTTTCAATCAACTGGGAAAAACGGGTAACAACAATAAGAGGGATGAAAAAAAGAGAGATGGATAATGAAGGTTGCAGTTGATCGTTGTGTTAGTAAGAGCTTCCTCACCTTCAAATCCTTCCGGACATTCACAAGTATACAAGTGAGAGGGCCGCTCGGTGGTACAGTTACCACCATTCAAGCATGGTGATGATGCACACGCATCATAGAGTTCAGAACAAGTAGGACCAGAATAGCCTTCCTGACATTGACAGGTGAAATCATCAATTCCATCTTCACAGTAACCTTCATTTAAACACGGAGAGGAGTCACATTCATTTATATCAATTTCACAGTCTTTTCCAGTATAACCACGAGCACATGAACACGAATAATTATTGGGTAAATTATTACAGGTACCATTGTTTTGACATGGGTTCGATAAGCATTCATCAACATCGGCATAACATGTTTTACCTTCCCAGCCAGGTGCACAATGACAAAAGAAATCATTGTGTAAATCCACACAACTTCCCCCATTTAGACATGGATTAGGTAGACATTCATCTGTTACATTTCCACAATTGAATCCTATGAATCCGGTTGGACATGTACAGTGATAATCGGCAACTTTATCAATACAAGTACCTCCATTTAAACATGGATTCTGGGCACAATCATCGATATCGGTTTCACAATTTTTACCCGTAAAACCAAGAGGACATGAACATGAATAATCTGCTACACCATCAACACAGGTACCACCATTTTTACATGGTTGGTTAACACAGTCATCTTTGTTGATCTCACAACGAGGTCCTTCAAAACCCATTTTACAAAAACATTTGAAATCTGCAATTAAGTTTTCACAGGCTCCACCATTTTTGCATGGGTTAGCAGCGCATTCATCTATATCTTCTTTACAGTTGTGACCTATGTAAGAATGAGAAATATGTGTTAATTACAATAAAGAATGTGTATTGATATCACTAACACAATTAAAAGGAAGCTTACCTTTAAAGCCTTGACGACAGAAACACTCATTCTCGATGCAAACACCATTGCAAAGCTCTAAATTACAAGTTTCTTTTTCACATAGTTTCCCAGTGAAGCCTGTATGATTAGATAAAAAAGCGAAAAAAAGTTTCATAAAATATTTATTCAGTTCAGGCAATGATAAATATTCATTTAACAATAAAAATAAGAGTCGAGTAAACTTTGATTTCATCAGCTTCACAAAACTTTGAAGAGTTTCAGCTGGCTTAATCATAGCTAACTTTGTAGGGAGGAATTTTTGAGGAAATTGCTTATTGAATGAATTTCCACTCACCATTTTCACAGGCACATTCAAATCCATTTATAAGATCATTACATGTTCCATTATTTTGGCATGGATTAGGCGAACATTCATTTATATTTACTTCACAGGTAAAACCGGTGAAACCAGGAGGACAAGAGCATGTAAAGTTGGAATGATGATTAGGTGAACATGAGCCACCGTTGGAACACGGATTAGAATCACAAGGGTTACTTTCAATTTCACATAGTTCACCTTTCCAACCTGGTAAACAGTGGCAGGTAAAACCATTCAATTGATCATGGCAGGTACCATTGTTAAGACACGGAGATGAAGCACACTCATCGATTTCATCTTGACATAAGAATCCGGTAAAACCAGGTGGACAAGAACATGTAAAGTTGGAATGTTGAGATGAACACGTACCATTGTTAACACAAGGATTGGGATCACAAGGGTTTATTTCAATTTCACAGTGTTTTCCCTGCCAACCCGGTAAACAGGTACAGGTAAAATCGTTGGTTCCATCATGGCAGGTACCATTATTAAGACACGGAGCTAAGGCACATTCATCTATGTCATCTTGACAATACAATCCAGTGAAACCAGATTTACAAAAACACTGTCCATGGTGGCAAACACCGTTTAAACAAGGTGGTGAACATTCGGAATAGTCACTAGTAATTGTTTCGTTGTTATTATCATCGATACATAAACATATGTTAAAATGACTAATTAATAAAGGTATAATCAACAATAAATGACAATAAATTGACCCAACCATATCTTACCCAAGTAAAGTTTCAATCTAAAGACAGAGTAACATGAAAACATGGATTAGCTTTGTAACAACATAACATAACCTAGCCTAACCTAACAAATAAAAAATTAACAGGTTGGTCCTACCTCGCCAGGTAAGACAACCAACCTACCTGGCGAGGCCATTACTTTTGTCAGTCCCCGTTGCTAGGCCGCAACCCAGCAACGGGAGAGAACTGGAAGACTCTTTTGGCCAAAGAATGGGAAAGAAAGAGAAAAACTAAGAGGAAAAGTTGCAGGCAAAAAAACATCATTCCTGCCAGTCTTGGGTTTTAGTAGTTGTTTTAATTCCATAAGAGAAATATATTCCACCTCGACTGATATGATATACCTATTGGAACGCATTCCAATGCTCTTGAGCTTCGAAGACTGTCTAAACAATTGACTGTTCATGGGAAGAACGGACTATTTCTAGCTGGGTTGTAACGATTTCCGTGTCTGGTTTCAATATTTACCCAAATCATGATTTTTTTGTTTAAACTTTGATATTTATTTATGGAAAAATTTCAACAATTCATTTTACTAATTTTACACCTTAAATTCCTATCGATTTCAACTTTGCGTGAAATTACATCTTAATAATCATTTCAATCTTACCGCTTTAATGTTTTTGACTAGATATTATGTTTGCTTACAAGATGGTGGCACATGGAAAAAGTTGTTTTACTCGGACTTTTAAATAATGATTAGCTTACGTTATGATGTAACTTTCAATTGTAATTGAATCAACAATCAGTTTAGAATTTCATTTTTATTCTTTGTTCAGTTTAATTGATACTTTTCTTGTTCCCTCGATTTACTTCTCAGTAAGACTTACAATATAATAGCTTAAATTATGGCTTCTGTAAGCAATACCGGCTCATTGATTGCCTATCTCCATCCAGTAGTTATAATGAATATTTCAGACCATTGGACTCGATTAAAGGTTCAAAATACTGGCGACCAACAGGTCATTGGTGCTTTGATTGGTAAACAAGAAGGTAGAAATATCGAAATTATGAGTTCCTTTGAGCTTCTCTTCGATCGTGTGGAAGGCGACATAATCATTGATAAAGAGTACTACTTCCAGAAAGAAGCCCAATTCAAGCAAGTTTTCCCTGATCTCGATTTTATTGGTTGGTACACAATTGGAGATGTCCCTAATGATTCTGACATTAAAGTACAACAACAGATCTGTGAAATCAACGAATCACCGATATTCTTGAAGCTTAACCCTTATGTAAGTCAACATAATTCCATTGGTTATTTAATTTGCCAAAATCTTCTTTCCCTTTCAGAGTCCTCACTCAAAATTGCCAGTTAACATGTACGAAACAGTTATTGATATTGTCAATGGAGAGGCAAAAATGCTATTTATTGATCTCAACTATTCAATCAAAACCGAAGAAGCCGAGAGAATAGGCCTTGACCATATTGCTACATTGTCATCTGTTACTGAGGTTTGTTTCAACCAAAAGCGCCGAGTATTTATACTGCGCTTGATTAATTGAATTATAAAGCATACTATTTTAAAATTATCTTTTGACAGGGTCCCGAGTGTCAAAGCTCAGTTATCTCAGAGCTTCTTAGCTGCCAAATGAATGCTGTTAAAATGTTGCGGGAACGTATCAACATAGTTTTAGCATACGTGAACGACACACATAAAGGGATAATTCCATGGAACGATGAAATTCTCAGAGATATCAATAATCTTTGCCACAGACTTCCAGTTGTCAATAACAAGAGATATTCTGATGATTATTACAGACTAAATAACGATATCGCTTTAGCTACTTACCTGAGTACTATAACCAAAGTCACCAACACTCTCAACGAATTTGTTCAAAGGTTCAATATATTTTATGAACACCACGGAATGAGTCGAAAGATAAGAGCAGCATTCATAATAAAAAAGGACGATTTGGTTCTTTAAACCAGCCCAAACCTGGAACCATTCATGTAAACTTTTGGGATAAACAAAGTATTACATAAAAAAGGATTTCTCTATTACTCAAAGGTTTACCAAGTTTTATTTCATAAAACTAGTCTAAATAACTGCATTTAACGGAGTTCGTTTACTTCAAAAAATTCATTTTCTCCAATATTTCTCCAATAATCACCTCTTCTAATGTATTTTCAAATGGGCCATTTCCTTTCAAAGATATTTTCTTTTCTCATTTTTTTCTTCTCTCCTTTTTTTCTCAGTTTTGTTTGGCTTTTACAATTACCTTCTCTGTCTACATCTGTAATGTAGCCTGGCAGCGATTTAAAGGAGCTCCCATCTCATGTGAACCTTGTTACCTGTGGAAATGTTTAACATCTTTACCTTTACTTTCTTTGGGACAATTTTCTTATCTTTTCCCAAGTTTATATCCATAAACATTTTCAAGTTGTTGCCTGATCTTGATGATGATTTGCTACTGATTCAGTTGCAGCCACTTCTGTTGATGGTGATAATAATAATAATGGCGATGAAATAATAACAACAACGAGACAATCTTACTCTTTATCAACCATTTTAGTCTTCACTAAATTATCATACATTATTGTTACTTTGATTCTCGCATCTATTTAAACTGGAAACTTTCTTAATTCATATTTACTTAACAGTTCACACGAGTTCGTTTATCCCTATTTGATTAGTAATACAATTATTTGGACAAATTTGGATGAACACAAGTCTAATGTTTCCGGTTTTAAGGTATTTCTGCTCATTCTTTTCAAGTATAAATCTTGTTTATCACACGCTGTTATAAATAATGTAACAATTAATGGGAAACAAAAGGTTAATTATCATATTAGTTCACCGTGAATTAATGTAAAGGTTAAAATGATACAGTTTTTTATAATGCATTTAAAATTGTCTGCCTTAAACATTTACATTTAAAGTCCACTTTAAGCAAGAAACGTTCAAGTGCAAAAAAGCGACATCATTCCTGGTAAGTCAATTGTTTTTGATTATCATCTTTTGATTACAGGCTATTGATTTAATGAGAGTAAACATTAATTCTTGCAATTCAAATTTTCTCTTTTCCAGACCAACTTGACCAATTATAAGGCAAACCAGATATGTAAACAGATGATACAGAAACAAAGGAAAGTAAATTGTTAATTAATCATCAATAGATTTGATTTTCCCATGCAAAGATGGATAACAACAGTAACAACAAAAAAGCAGGAACAATTAACTAAATTGGGTCAATTGTTGATGAAAATTGTTAGATGACAAGATGATGTTGATTAAAAGGAAGAAGACGAGAAAGATTGAAAAATGGTGAATACAAAGAAGCAAATTATAATTATTTTTGATTCTAAATTGTTAACTAACCTGTGCATTACTTTCATACGTTAATTGTATTAAATGGAAAAGGTTAAATGTAATTTGTTTTCTCGTTGATTAAGTTTCAACCTCGAGTTGTTTCATCTTTTGTAGTAAATCACAAAACAGTTGGCGATTTGGGATCCAGAAATTGGTGTAACGGCAACAATCAAATGTGAACATTGTAATATAACAAGATAATCAAAATGTATACAATTTAATACACGATTTGGTTGCTTGTTAATAACTACTTTAAACAATTATCAACTTGATTATGTGTTGATGAAGTCAAGATTCATCAAACAGTCTGTTATGCCAATACCAAAGATAAGCTGTTGCTTGATTACATTAACAAACAATCATCACCATTATCACTAATCATCATTTCAACCTACTTCACAATTAATTTGTGTATGTAAATTGAATATGGCAAGGTTGGTGTTTAGTAGGAAAAAAGGTTAACCAGAAAGGTTTACCTTAAATGTGATTTGGCATTACAATGAGATGGTCTAGAAGTGATCTAAAGTTGATTGTTGATCACATTTAGAAGTGATTAGCTTTTTTTGTTATTGATATTAATATTTCCTTGTCAGTCTTTTTTAAGCTTAAATTTGAATGGGTTAAGTGATGGTTTTAAGTCCATATTTGTGTGACTTATTGTGATGAAAATAAAAGGTAAGGTCAGTGATTAAGCTGTAATACAGAAGGTAAAAGAAGGTCAATTTCAGAGTTAATCGTTAATCTTAAACTTGGCTTCTCTAAATTTAAACCTTTGTTGAAACCTTTTTCAAAAAGCAATCAAGATGTAATTTAAAGTTAATCACGTCAGTCACTGTGTTATTAAAAGGATTACCTAAAGAGAACCATTTTACACTTTTTTGTATTACAGTATAAAATGGATTAACTTTGAAACAATAAACATTCAATTGACCTTACCTAAACCAAAAACACAAGATTAAGATGTTAATTCTCATGTTTTTACCCATTTTTTCCTGCATAAATATGACATTTAAATGGTTTCATCAAGTTAATGTTGAATTTTTCAATAATGATTGAGACCCTGACTATACCAATGGTTATACCTTGGTTCATTGACTCAATTGATTATCTCCAGGAGATAAATTAGCATTGTTACTGATGCTATCAAGTTACAATAATTAAACAGATATAATTTGAATCCCTTTTAAATTTAGTTTTGATTCTTTGCCTTGGCCTTAGGACATGGAAGAACCAGAATCCTTAAATAACTGAACTGGTTTAATAGTGACAAAGGTTTGCTTCTAAGCATTGTCTAGACCAATTATAAAGTCACCAATTAAATTAACTTGTAACAATAATCTCAGTCCATTTTGATCAAGATCCACTTCATTGCTTGTATAATTTGTAATGAGAGTTGAAAATGCTGCCAACAGTCTTGGGGATATTTCATGTAACTTGGAATTTGTAAGGTAAATCCACAGCAATCATGAGTGTTTACAATTGAGAACAGCGATAGTCAATAGATGATTGATAGTCTTGATAAATTTGGTTCCACAAGAAAACATAAAAATTAGCATTAAATTTACACTGTGATCAAAGGTCACAGTAAATGGCCTATGAAGAAAAGAGAGAAAATATTTAGCTAGTTAAACCGTAAGCTTTTGACCTGGAAAAAAAAATTTGGTAAATGTCCTATTTTTGGAGGTAAAAACAACAGGCAACTAATTTGGGTTCCTTAAATTACAGTGGTAACCTCTAACCTTTTAACCTTTAGATCCTTTGAGTAGCCCTAAGGTGAGATTATCTAAAGTGAAGATAAAAAGCCAAAAATTACTTTGTTTACTGTTGAAAGGGATCCAGGCCCACGGATATTTCCTGGTTAGTTAAATTGGTGCCATTGAAGAGCCATTCCTGGTGAATTATTCAGGACAATTATGTTAAACATCTCGAGACTCGAGCAACCAGAAAATTAGCCAAAATAATAATAAAAGAAACAAACTTTAGAGTAAGAGTAAAATAGCTTTAAAGTATCACTGAAAATTACGAGATGGCGCCCATTGCAATAAATGAAATAGCGTGATTACCAGCTCCATCTAAGGGATTGCAATTAAACTTTTTATAATTGTTTTATAAGTTATTTTTTTAAAATTGATATATGAAATTTGATAATCAGCAATTACAATTTTAGAATCCTGTATCAACTTTAGGAAACTTCATTAACTCAGTGAATAACTAATTTATTAGTAAACTGCAATCTTGATTAAAATCGTAAGTCATTGGCTACTTGAGCCAACTCTTTATAAACATTGCTGGGAACTTTTAGCTTTATTAGCTGGTTTTTACAGCTCTTTGTTTCATTTGCAAGTTTCCGTTCCATTTGTTGACTTTATTTTTAAACTGCTATTGACAAGAGTTGTGAGTTATTTCCTCAGTGTTTTAATTTGATTTATATCAATTTTTTTACATTTTTACAGTGCTTCACCTTAATCTGTGTTTTGGAAAATGGCTTCTGAAGAAGAGTATTCTGTTGAAAAGATATTGGATAAAAGGATCAGAAACGGAGAAGTTGAATATTTTTTGAAATGGGAAGGATATTCCGAAGATGACAACACTTGGGAACCAGCAAGGAACGTGAATTGCTACGATTTGATTGCTGAATATGAGAGAAATAATCCTAATCGCCCAGCTGGCAATGAAATACCTGCGGATATTTTACGCTCCTGTCGAAGAATCGAGATAAGAGATGATTCTGAAGAAGAAGAATACGCCATAGAAAAGATTTTGGACAGAAGAGTTCGTTCTGGAGTAACTGAATACTACATAAAATGGAAAGGATATTCCGAATCTGATAACACTTGGGAACCAGAGTGTAACTTGAACTGCCCAGAAATGATTCAACAATTTGAGCGACAACGCAACCAACGCCCTCGAAGACGATAATTCATACATTTCATTGTGACACATATTAAAATATGTTTTAAGCTGATCAAATCTACTGTACCCGAAAGCTTCAATAATGAGTTAAATAAAGATTATCAAGAAGTTCATAAAATGGTTATTGACTGCGTAATTTCTAGTATTTTCAACTGATGGATCAATTCAAGGTAAGTAATCTCAACTCGCGTCATGTCTGCAAACTGTAAACAAGCGAAAAAATGATTAATGGCAGCCTTAACTTGAAATGTAACAAAAATTGTAAAACATTAAGAGCAGCTTAATTACATTAATTGTAACGGCAAAATGATTAGAAAAGTCAGTTCATGTTTGAGTGTGAATTTGAATCAAGAGCTTCGGTTGTTTCCACCATTTGACGGATAAAAGGTTGATTCTTGAATATGAATTTATAATAGCTAAGGCGAACTAGTCAATGGTATTAACATTGATCAATTGGATTAACAGTAATCCATCATCAATATAAGAGTTGAACTTTACAATAAAATGGTCAAAACACCTTCAAGAACAGTAAATCAATTTAAAGCAACACTTAATCGATTCAATATCTATCACTAACTGTTATTAATAAAATAACCTTTCAAATGCAAGCAAAAGAAGGACAAAATGAAAGGCTTTTTAGTTTTTAAATTGAAAATAAAGGTGGACAATTTTGTCAGGACACAGCCAAAGTGATCAGTTGATTACCTAGATCCTCAGGTTAACTATCATTATCACTTGAATGCTCAATCTCCACTCGATGGATAATTAATTAGCTAACCTTCTTATTAGATCAAGAATATGATTGCCGTAGGATATAATTGAGAGGAGTTCAAATGAATGATGATGTTTGATTGACTTTGCAACTTGACTTCTTTTCCTAATCATCAAATCACCAACATTGTTCAAACAGCTAATTTACCGCACCCAAGTTCACCAATCAACTATATTATCGTCTTCATGTAAAATCAAAACTGTCCAGTTGCGAAGTTGATTAATGTAAAACTGAATACAAGGAAAGTCGCAAGGAAAAGCAAAAAAAAGCCAAAATGTCTTTCCAATACATTACTTACCTTTCTTGCTTTCAATTGTCAATCCGATTTACATTTAACCATGTAATCAATGTTCACCAAAAATTAAATTGATTAAATCAGCGTTAAATAAATTAAAATCAAGATAAAAATTAAATGAAACTGCAATCAGAAGGCCTGTTATTAGCATTGTTTTAACATGTCTGCTTCCTATACTCTGTACTTTGGTTTTGCTTCAACCTTAGGCCTGAGTTGCTGTTATGGTTTAACCAGTTTTTCATGATCACATTTAATCATCACTCCGAGTCGATAATTTAGTTAACAGGTTTAACAATAATTATTGTGGTCATGGATAATTGGTTATAATTAGAATGATGAGTTCAAAGATTTTTACTGATATTATCTGAAACGGATAAATTGTATAACTTACAACATTAACATTTTGAATTGATTTTCATTGGTTACTATTGATTGTTATCATAAATTAACATCCTTTTACTGTTTGAGAAACAAAAGTTAAAGCTTAAATGCTAATTGTTACCATCACCGTTAATGATTAGGGAATGACGGAGTAAAGAGGAATTGAAATGAGACTGATTTTTGATCGATTAGGATCAAACAAAAAGTGTGTTCAAATTATTGATTTACAGACGTAAATGGTTAATCATCAAATAAGGATAATCCCTGTCAAAGGTTTAATTGTGGTCAAATAAGATTGTTTTTAAGGTAAAATGTTTTTGTTTACTCCAAAAAATTTGATTCACTTTCAACAATTCTGATTGACCTTTTCCATTTAATTTAACCATTATAATTATCAGTCTAATTGGACATTATATCAATTTGTTATTACCAGTCCAATTTGCTGAATAAACTCATAATCATTTTATATTAAAATTTGGTTAACAAACTGACCATTAATTCAATTGTTGATATTATTGCAAGCAAAACAGTTAAGGTGTTTCAGGAAACATCAACATTATGATTTGATTTTCATTAGTCAACTTATCCTACTTACCAAATTACAATTTACAGTTGATTTAAATTAAGACAAACTGTGTAAACTTCATTAGTTGACCATGAGTTGGATTATTAAATTGTATGAATTAACCTTACTGACTATTTCAAGTGTTTACAATCTACTTTCACTGGTTGAACCAACGTTTAAAGCCATTATTACATTGTTGCCTAAATTTCACCAAATTAATATTTCTAAATGGTTGGTCAATTAGCGCATTTAAATTAATCACTGAAACTTCAATTAAATCATAAACCATTGAAAGATTAGTCTAAAGAAGATAATCAAAAATAACCAAAAATTACCCAAAAGTAAAGTCAACCCAAATCCAACCAAGAACTGTCCGTAAATTGTGGATCATTGATTGTAATGATACTTTCTGTTAATATGATTAAAGGATAAAGCAATTACAATTGAGTAGCTAATTTATGGTGAGAAGTTAAATTACAGTTAACAGTTAAAATGAAAACAAATGAAGGTTAACAAGGATTGAAATGAACATTTTCTTAACCCATTCAGTGTAGATTTACTTTGAAAAGATAATATTACATATTTAAAGCAATTATCTTGATTATAATTACAGAGAAACTGATGATTAAATGTTAACAAGGATACAAAATTTGATTACCTTGGAGTTGGTGATAAATACAGGCTTGGATACAAAATTATACAAAATTCTGGTAACAGTAAGATGAAAACAATTGGGTTTAGATGGCAACTCTTACACAAGGTTAAAGTCTCGTTGGGATCAAAATACAAATTGATTTTAAACAATTAACAATAACCAGATTTAGTTACACTATTTACATGAAATAATCATTTGTTGTTTGTTGTTTAATCAAAACAATGTATAACAATCAAGTCATCAACCCGATTTAAGATCCAGAAATAACCAAAATATCCATAGAGGCTTAACCAGGCAAAATTGGGTTGCATAGAGAGATGTAATTTGTTTTGTTAACCCTGTTTCTGGTTACCTTGTTATGGTCAGTTGGGAGGGAGATTAATTAAAAATGTCTTGTTTACTGGTCAATGTTATTAATATAAACATTAATTAACTGTCTTCTCAGCGAAAAGAAACCTCATAGAGAATCAAGGATCGACCTTTAAAGTGTATTAATAACGATACTTCCGCAATTGTTAAGGTTTGGTGTAATGATAATGATAACAGTCAAACTGATTGTTATTAATAATCAATCCCATGTCAGTCAAAGTCGAAGAGCGGGAAAAAGAAGGAGGGAGAAAGTGGGAAGAAAAGAAAGGAATGAAAGTAAAAGTGTGAGAAATAGTTTGGGCAACAAAATGTCTTTACGTAAGGTTGATTTTGATTTAATGTTGAAAAGGTTGATACAAATTGCTCCTCCAGGCTAACTAATATAAATAAGAGATACGCCTTGTCATGTAAACTTGGTCATTTTCAATCGTAAACTCGGTGTAAACAGTTCGGAATCAAATAAACATCAGAATCCACTTTTTTTTCTATTATAGTGTCTACCATTTTAATATTGTGATTTTTTGTATCAAAATGAAAACCATTGTAAGTATTTCTTTTCAATTTTTACAATTCAAATGCAATTAATTTATTTTTAATTTACTTGATTGCTTAATCTAACTGTACAAATTGAGTGATAGTCATTAAGTGATTGATGACTGCTACTTATAGTTCTGATTAGCTTTTTGATTAGCAGTACACAACCTGTCAAGGTTTCAATGGCAACTCTTTTGAAACTGTTTTTAATGCATTAATTCGTTCTTTATTATTGATAGATTTTTTTCGCCCTTTTGGTTGCCTCAGCCAACTGTCAGCAATCAGCATTTGAGTCTTTTATGTCAAGGAATCGTGAATTGTTCCCTAACTTATCTACTGGATCGTCACAATTCGCAACAAGTGGACAACAACAGCAACAAGCACAACCTCAAATTCAAAACCAATGGCAACAACCAGCTCCAGTTGCCCGATCAAATCAATTACCATCTTTACCATCCAACGAACCTTTCGTTACCTCAAACTCTCATATTCAGTCTTTTAACCAACCACAATCTTTCAACCAACAGCAATCTTTTAACCAACAACAAGCTTTTGCTCAACCTCAAGCTTTTACTCAGCCACAAGCTTTTAATCAACCACAAGCTTTCAACCAACTCCAAGCACCATCAGGACAAACAACAACAATTTCCGGACCAAACTTCCAAACTTCAATTAATTAATCCCAAGTTTGCCACAACATGCTACTCAATCAGCACCTCAACAACAACAACAGCAACAACAACCCCAATTCCAAAATCAATTCACTTCTCACATTCATAGTCATCAACCTTCATCTTCAGCATCATTAGTCAACCAGCCCTCAACTGGACTTGCTTCAGCCTCTTTTTTCAATACCCAAGGTAACAACAATTTCCCATCTAATTTCGCAGCTCCAGCACCATCAAGTCTCCCAACTCCACCTCAAACCTTTGGTCCTCTCGATTTTTCGTCTTTCCAAGGCAACTCATTCTTCAATAATCAGCAACAACGAGCAGCTTCACCATCAACACCTTCATTCGCTCCTACAAATGCAATTCGAGCTCCCGGTTTCGAAACTTTTGTCTACATGAGACCATCTGAGCAACCAGTCCAAGGAGCATCATTGAGGAAGGTTATTCGTAGTCCAAATGGAGTCGACAAGGAGTTGTTTTACGTTCCAATGCCCAGTTACAGTCCACCATCAATTTACACCACTCAAGTTATCCATGGAAATGAAAACAAACAAGGTCAACAACAATGAAAAGGAGATCGATAAATGAATGCGATAGAAAAGCCTTGATCAAAGATTGATTCTAGAAAAATAATATAAATGAAACAAGATACTATTTTTTTATCATTCAATTTTTAAATTGACTGAAAAACCCGAGATTAAGTATTACTGGAAGGCTTTTAGTTTATAACATTGATTGTTATCTCCTCTGAAAGCTTCATTTGTTCTCAATTTTTGTATTACTTCAGCTATTTTTTGTATCTATATTAATACCTGTTTTCAATTTCCATCTTATTTCTCGAATTGCAAGGAATTAAATTACAAATTGTTGAAGTCAATTTACATTCTCATTTCTCATTTGACTTTCCAATTATATACTTTTCTTATATCAATTCTTAACAAGAAAAAGTATGCAAAAGTTTCTATCATTCATTAAGTTTATAAGAAGCATTAACTAATCCCAGTTTTAAACAAAATCCTTGGAACTCTTGGAACTTAGAAATTTAAAATCAAATATCACTTTTAATCAAGTCGAAACTGATTGGAAATAGAAGTGGAAAATTTGTAAAATGCTTTTAAAAAAGTAGTGAAATAAAATAAATGACGTTTCCTGATTTAAACAGTTGATTCAGGAAACAAAGATCAAATTTTTTCAATTTTTGAGAAATTGTTGGATCCAGGGCTCATCTTTAGATTGTATCTTTCTCCTCATTTGACAATAATCCTCCAAAAGTTACTTATCAATAGCGATAAAACAATTCCTTCGGATTCTTTCTTCATTAAAACTGATCCATGAGGTATGGTAGATGGTCAAAAGTTTTTATAAAACAATATTTCATGAAACTGAAACCTCTAATAATACGTTCATAAGTAGTGTGCAAATTACGCCATTCTCTCAAAATCCTATTATCCTGTTCGTAATAAAATGTTGGAAAAGGACTGTTGCCGCGATGGTTTATAACAAAAGCTTCCGCGTCTCGCGTTATATTATAGCATCCTCGTAGATCGATCAGAGTAATGTTAGGTAACATGTCAATTATTTCAGGCACACAAGAATCGTGTATTCGGAAGTTCTCTCTTATCGCCAGATTCTTTATCCTTGGAAATTTGTTCAATATCCTCCTTATCAATTTCCATTCACAATAAGGCTGAAAAGGAAATCAAACACGAGTTATCAGTGATTTAATCTATTAATTTATAGAGAAAAAACTTACACTTTCTATAACTAAATCACGAACATTTCCATTGTAAGAAACATCTTGACTAGTGAAGGTGAATCTATTTTGAATACCATCTATTTTAAGATAAAGGCTTTGCAAATTCGGACATCTATTTATCAAGCTAAAACCCTTATAATGGCCATCGTCATCGGTAACGAGCGTATTTATTTCCAGAATTTTGAGATTATCCAAGTAGCATCCATCATAGGTTCCACCAACTGTAAAACAATTTTTTTGCCACCTTCAAAAATTATTCAATATAAATTATGAGAACTCACGTGTATAACCAATATGGAGTCTAATTAAACTATGTGAAAATAATGAATCTAAAAAACATTCTTCAGTATGGAGCTGCATTAAACTAACTTCAGAAAAATAACGCGCTTCCTTAGGCGACAAATAATATATGGATAAATTTAAGAGGAATGGAGCTCCTTCCACAACATAAAAATCGAGGATGTCTCCAAGCCGATAGATGAGGCCTCTCAAGCTTTCAGAAGCAGTTAACATAGCTTCTGCATCTTCATGGGTAAGCCATAATTTGTTATGACCAGCCATATCAAGGATCTACAGGACAGAGTAAAATTAAATTCAACCATATGATGAAGATATGAAATAAAATTGATGTTAACTTACTTACACTCAGATTCGGTACCAATTCGCTGAGATGCCAGTATGATAAGACAATGGGCGAAGTATAGTAAAGTGTATTCATTTGTTTAGTCGCTGTTGATCCTGGATCAAGTTCGTGGTCTGGATGTCTCTCTGTAAATAAAGATTGAAAGATTGAATTAGAAAAGATAAAACACCTGTACCCGAAAATACATGATACTCACTGACTAGATATTTAACATTGAGAAGTATCCTTTGAACTATACGACGCCATTGTCTACAAACTGTTCAGAGAATGTATGATCATTATAGAAGGGGTATTAATAATTATTGGTTAATAATCAGTTGTTCAATAGCAAGAAAGCCGACAACTTGGTCGACAAGTCTTCTTTTTTATGGCGATCTTCATTACGGATCAACAGATAAGACAAAATAGGGTCTTCGGATTGATCTAGAGGGAATATGAACAATCAATAAACTTTAGGCAACGGTTAAAATATAAAAAATAAACTTACCTCTCGCACAACTCATGAAATCATGAATGTCATCCAGATTTTTAAGAATTCTTACTACAATTCTTGCAGACATTACAGGAGAAGCCATAGCCATTATTGATTCTGGAAAAATAATTAATTAAAACACTGAATGTAAAAGACGACAGGTATTGAACGGTTAGGTATTGCAAAGAAATTCATTTGAGTAAAAATAATCGTTGCAGCAATTTGTTAGTCTCATAATTATTATCACAACGGATTCAATTAAAAAGAGCAAAAATTAAATTCGAACGAGTTAGTATGCATTCAAATCAATAGATGGAGACTCACACCTTTAGACAAAACAAAATTTAATTTTACGTTTTTTCCCTTTGATTAAGTTAAATCAAATTAATTTCATTCTTTATCTATGTTTAAATTAACATTCCAACACCCTGTTTACCAGAAAGTTTCAGCGACTTTCTTTCAAAATACATTCAAGGTAAGTCTGAGTCTTTCAAAACTCTATTTTGATACAAAATCACATTTCAGTTGAGTTGAGTTTATAAGCAAATATCAAAAATAAAAAACAAAAAATACCTTTTTCGGAAAAAATAGATTCTAATCAATAATCAGATTATTAAGTCATTTTTTATTCTTGAAAATTGGAGTTGAGCTGAGACAAAATCAACCAAGAATTTAATTCTGTGTACAGCAATTTTCTGTTACCAAATGTTAGGAATTGATTATTGAAACAAATGGTTACACCTCTATGGGTCAATATTGACCATTCTGAAACTGTTCAATGTCCAATTGATATTTGAATAAAAGCAAAGATACAAAATATGACAATTAAATGGCAATAAGGATATTTAAGACATAAATGTATTAATTTAGTGAATAAATATTGAATTTGAATTAAAACTTCGATATTTGAAAATGTTAGATACTTTTTTTGTTTACAAATGGGTGCACTTAGCTTCCATCTATTGGTATCTAATTAAAAGATTGCATTGTGTTTTTTTAATTTCTAATTGGTTCCAAAGTGAGACTGACGAATTGTTTAAGTGACCATTTTATTTAATTTTACTGTTTACTGTTGAATTTTTATTGTTGTCCATCTTTTAAATGATTAACTGGTGACCTTTAAGAAAATTTGATATTTTAAAACTTCTAGTGTTAAAAATACTTTAAAATGTCTTTAGACTTATTACCTGATAGTTGTTTGATCAATATTTTTAGCTGTGTCAACAGTATCCACGATATAAGCAGATGTTTAAGAGGTAAATTATTTTGTTTTTTATTTCTATCTTTTTATTCAATTTTGTAAACATCTTAAATCGAATCAACAACTAGAATTTAACTTGTAATCAACTCGCACCATTTAATATAACATGTGGTTTCTCAAAGACTAAGCTTTTTTTCTATTCAACAGTTTGTTCAAGATGGAATCGATTAATGAGAAAACTAATGCCCAAAGTCAAATATTTGATCAGTAAGTGTTACCATATAATATGGTTGATCAAATTTCTAATTCACCTTTAATTTCAATTATTTCATTGTAGGAGAGAATTGCGATTTTCAAGGAAGCAGAGTTGCAAGATTCATGGATATAGTTTTCTATTGTCGCCCAAGAGATTTAGTCAAGCTAAGGATCATGGACATACTTCCCAATCTCAAGGTTTGTTAATGCGTGTCCCTTGTGTATATATCGTCTGATCGATCTAACATGTAATTTCTTCGTTTCTCCTCAGATTATTGACATGACTGGTGTGCGAAGAAACAGATTGTCGAAACATGAAATCGAAACTCTCAAGAAAACTCAATCTTTAAAGGGGCTTATCTACCGGATTGGATTGTTTGATTTCAACGTTGCCAAATTTTGTCCAAATCTTAGATATCTGTCAACTGAATATCTTTCACCTGCTGATACCTTTGCTCTTTCAAAGATCGGATTAACACAACTTTTTGTTGGTGATTGCTTCATGAGCTCCTTATTTTCGCCAACTTTAGTTAGGCTTCATATCAGTGATTGTAGTAAGTCGATGAAGCTAATATTTTCATAATTCTTGATTTAAAAAGAAATCACTTTCATTTCTAGATTTTGGAACTTATAATGGCCCAGATTTAAAGAATCTTAAAATTTTGGAAATTTCTGCCTTCATCTGGTCCAAGGATACTCCGTATAATGGCTTTAGCTTGATCAATCGATGTCCAGCTTTGGAAAGTGTTTTCATGAAAATCACTGGAAATTTTACCTTTAGCCAAGGTGATATTGTTACTAACTTTAACATTCGTGATTTCATCCTCGAAAGTGTAAGGAAATCTTCTTTATAATGTATTTTAAGTATTATTAATTGCTTGTTTTTTCATTAATTTTAGTTCGATTGTGAATGGGATTTGATAAAGAAAATTCTGGTCAGATATCCAAACATAAAGCACTTAGCAATACGGGAAAATGTAAAAATTGATGACAGTTGTGTTTTTGAAATAATTGATTTGCTGCCAAATCTTGTGTTGCTTGATCTTCGAGAATCTCCCCAATTAACGAAGCAAAGTGCAGCTTACATTCGGCGATATAACAGAATACATAATACATGCATTAAGTTTTACTACAAAAACGATGTTCAAATTATCTGCGATTGGAAAACCCTTTCCTACAGGCCTAGACGAATTGTGCAAGGAATTGATTTCATGAAGCATTGCTTTCTCCAAACTTTTGAACAGCTGCCACATTTTATGAACTCAAAAGATGACTGAAAAATCAATTAAACCATAAATATTAGATTGACAACGACAATCGATTCAAAAATTCCGTTTACACCTAAAATTTTGACTTTGTTGCGACTCTTAAAAAAAGGATAATTACTTGGCTAAGATCAAATGTTTTAAGTACTGCCAACAACATACATATCAATGGACCTCAACTGGACTGTTGGAATAAATTAAATATTCAAGCGGTCGACAAAGAAAAAACTACAGTTATTTTTAAATAATCAAATAAATTTGATTTTTTACACCATTATCACTTTCAAACAAAACTAATTGTTGCTAACAAGCCTCTTGATTGCTAAAAATCATCTCTTAAACAAAATTTGCAAGAAAAATCAATAGCTCAAGATCAAGATTCAAGCCAGTGGACTCAGTAATTGCTTTTCCAAGCCCGTGGACGGTTAAGATAGATGGATTTGACATTGACCTGATATCTAGTTGGTTCATGCTTGAGGCAAGATTCTTACTAATTACCAGGTGATCACTGGGTTGATCATAGGTCAATCAATGAGTAACAATGTGAGAAGCAATTTCAACTGAACATATAAAATCAGCGTAACATTAAACTGTGTTTTCTGATTGACTTGATTTTTGGCAATTATAATTGCGGACTTACAAGTAATCTGACTATCCTCCTATGAAAAAAGTAGGTTAATATGTTTTCAATATCTACGAACTGTTTACTTTTATATTGAACATTTTCTTAGCTAATAATATTGCAAAAGCAATCATTTTTATTTTAATTTCTTGTTCTAAAAATGATAAAAGATGAATATAATTATAATGGCCAAATGCATAATCAAATGAACTGACCATATGAACCTAAACTTTAGCCTTAAACCAGAATTTTTGAATCTCATTCCCAAACATAATAAAACAAAAATTGCCATTTGATCTAATTTTTGACCCTCGCAATGAAAGTGAGGCCAAACCTTCTACCTGCAAGGCTTTTTCAAAGCTCAATTAACCATTTTTACTTTTAATGGTCGACAATTTAGCTTCAGTGAAAGTCATCATCATTTAACTATTAAGCAGCTAATTGTCATTAACCTTGAAAATGTGTCCAATTTGAATTGACAAGAGTAGCAACTGAAAAGCTGACTGCTGACCATTTGAGTTGAAAGCTTCATTTATGTTTCAATTGAAATCCATAAAAAAATCAAAATTAAGATTTTGCATGTTGACATGAAGCACTTTTAAGCTTCCGATTTGATCATATGATAAAACTATCAACATCATTGACTAATCATAATGAGTTAACTCATTGCCATCCTGCGATTACTAGAAATGATGATCTAACTTCATTTCTCAGTCCACCACGAATCGTTAATTTTAAATTGCATAAAAAGGCAATAAAGAAGATCGGACCACAATTAATTGCCATGAAAACGTTTCCCATAGACTTACAATGTAATAAATGACTCGGACAGAACATCTTAAACATTGTATTCCCATTCAGATTGCATGGAAACCATGAAAGCTGTAAACTTTCAGTTTTTCAATCTTAATTATGGTGAAAATTATGAAATATAATGCGAACAATAATAATTATATAGTTAATAAAAAGATCACCAGAAACACATGAACACAGCGTGGTAATGTTAACACAAGAAAAACGCAATCCGTTGATTAAATGGAGAGAACCATGCAGAGCATGTTAATTGTAAACACACACACACATACAATCAAATTAATGTTGACAAGATGTGTGATACAATCTAACTTTTGATCAACAGCCTCATCATCATAACCAAGTGAGTCAATACGTCAACCAGAAAATTTTGTTGGTTTTTTTTGGGTTTTACTGGTTGCACTTGGTGCGTCAAACAAAATGATTTGTTGATGGTTAAACAAATTATCGAACTAATTAAACAGTTGAATTGGCTCAAATAGAGATCGTAAATTATTAATCAAAAGTCAAACCATTTGTTAGATTGAAATTAATTTACACATAAACTGGATTTAAGATTTTTAGTGTAATTTTCAATAAGACCGCCATTGAGGCTTACAAGACGGGCATTAAAGGCATTATGCTTTTTATGCCAGTTAACCTTCACGATCTTTATTGATTAAAACCATTCTTGTCGGTTGTTGTTATTTTATCAATTGTTAATTTTATAAATCTATTGAAATATATGAACAATTAACAAGGACGACATAATTACATGTATTAATCAATTGTGTTAATCAATAGTAATAATAATTTTGCATTAAAATGGTGACTTGAATCAAGTATCAATCAAACAACACATCTAACATCTTATAAAGTGACTATAGTTACAATTAAAAAATCGTTCAAAGTCACGGTCAGAAGATAAATAAATTGTGAAATCATAATTTATTAATCAACAACAATCAAATGAAATAAAAAAAGGATTTCTTGGTTGGAAGAAAAAAGAATCAATTTTCCCCAAAAAAAAGATTTACAGAAAAAGGTAAGAAATGTAAACATTAACTCTTCTAACCAAAATTTTAAAAATAAATCATTCCTACACTCATAGTGCTAACCAATTGAGTCAATGAAAGTGTGAATCAAGAAATTGTTTCATTAAAATCATTTTACCTTGTTATAATTCGATATAATCAGCAGTTGATACAGTTTTATGAAAAATCAATTTCAAGTCAATTTCATTTCTCAATATCAGTCAAGGTTTGACCTGGCTTGCTTCCTCTCTCATTGGATCATCAATATGCTTCAAATCATCATTTTAAAACATCATTTCAAATCTTCAAATTGGTTATCATCTTGCGATTAAATCTCAGCAAATTATCATCAATATCAACAATAATAAATGGATACTAATTGAGATCAAGGACTGCAGTTTATCAACCACCAAACTGGACAGGAAAATGTTGGATCATCTGATCTGTTAGCTTAAGATGATTAGCCTAATGATGATTTTAGTGTATTCATCTATTAGATAAAATAACATTCAAGTTCAATTAACCGGAATTTAAACACTTAATCAACCGAATCATTAGCTGATCCAATGATCAAGAAAACCCAAAAATTGGTAAGCTTTCAGGACAACATTAAATGGTTTCACCTAAAAAAAAGTGTTCCTCATTATTAACGCATTTTTTACCTTTTCTTATTTCCTTTTTCAGGCAAATTCAATTGTTATATTGATTATTGTTGATCTTGCTGTTGTTAATTATTCAAGTTATGATTAAAACCCAACTGAAATGGTTATAATTAACTTTGACGTCCACACTCAACTTGATTCCCAGGAGGACAGAGTCATTGCCATTATATAATCTTCAACTTGACGGGCTCAACTCATTTCGCAGTTAAATAATAATTGTTGGCGAAAAAAACCGAAAATTGGTTTCACTTCTTTTTAATTGTTGTACTTGAAACACTAATTATAGCTTAATCTTGTTTTTCGCACAATTTAATTATGAATTGTTGTGAATCCTTGTGAATTCATATTAAATTGTAACTTTCCATTTCTTGACTTGTAAATTACCTGCTTACACTAAATCAACGTCAATGGTTAATTAACGTTTGTCCTTTGGGTTATTCACGTTACCATATCAAGGTTATGATGGTCGAATTGGTTAAATTTGGTTTATTAGGCGATTTGGTTGGTATTGTGATGGGCAAGACTTTACTTTCAAGCCTCCAGTTTTGACCAATATTTGGATATCTTTGTTGATTATAACTAACCTTGAAACTTATGAATTGTTATGACAATCAATTTTAAATCAACAGAATAAATCAACAACATCTATCATAATATCACAGTGTGAAGTCAATACATGAAGGTTTCATGAAAAACAGAAGCAAGTAAATCACAAAATGCAAAAACAAATGAAGTAAAAAACAAAACCATAACCTACAAGGTTATTTTCAGATGTTCAGATTAATCCAACTTTTAATATTCATCATTTTGAATTAATCAAAATTTTAATCAATTTCTAGCATTTCTAATATCAAGTTGCACTTCAATCTCAAGTCAAATTGTTGTGTAAAGAGCGATTCGTGAATGAACAAAAGCTAAAGCATTATTACATGAAGCTAAAGGTTCATCTGTTAGTGATTAATCAAATTAATTTGAGTAATTTAATTTTCTTCCCTGATATCTTGATTCTTATTTATCTCTACTGAAAATGTTGAAAATTATTTACTGGCAAAATGAAGGACAATAATGATGAATCTAGTAAAAGGGAAAGGTTTTTGTTTTTGCTTGAGATTGATGATGCTTAATGCTCATCTTTACTTTATTTATCGTAGGAATGGCCAAATGATACATTAAATTATATTGTTACCTCTATCATCATTAACATGACGATTATGATGATTATAATCATGATCATGATCATCATGTTTATCATCATTATTTCCTTTCCAGATCGTAGACCTGAACAGCAACTTTGTTGCTTATTTCTAGCTTTACATTGTGAGTTCAATCAAGTGGCTATTTAATTTAAATTTTTACGCTCAACTCAATTTATGCTTCCTTTTATTTCCCATTGTTTTACAGTTCATTCGTAATCAACAATTCAGAGTCAACAATTTAGCATCAACAATTTAACATCATCAATTTAAAATTCTTGAACCCTTTGCTTGACTCTTTTCACTCTTCAATCCCAGGTAATATCAAAGGAGTGTTTATTATGGCTTTTTTTGTTCATTTCATTTTATTTCTCTAAACTCATTAACCATACTAAATACATTTTATTAACCATCATTAAGATTGTTTAAACATATTCAATGATAATGTTAACAATAATCAAAAAGGCGAGGTAATTGGCTTTCCCTTTGGCATCGCTGAAAAAAGCTCAAATGTGAAGCTTCCTAGGATATTGAAAATGAACTTGTAAGCCACAAATTGTTTTCAATTTAGTTGAAAAAATAATCAAACAAAATTAAATTAAACGCTTAATTATCCACAGACATGAATACTAATGAATTAATTGAAAAATATCGTTGAGCAATTGTGGTTTACAATCATGTTGAACAACTTGTACACTGCTGTTACGTTTCAACTGCAAAAAACTGGTTACTTCTTCTGGTTGTTTTCTGGTTTCAAATTTTTCCTGGTTGATGTACTGGATAAACAATTTAGAGTTGAAATGACCATCGTCATTTGAATAAACAGTATTGTCCACCAATGCCACAAATTGAATTTTAACCAAGAGTTGTGCTCTGATTGGTTTGTTGATGAGTTGATGGAAAACAATCAATCATTTGGATTAGCAAATCTTGTTATCAAAATTAAATTTGATTATCATTTACTGTGATGTGATTAAGTTGATCGTCTCAACACCGTTAATTATAATCTAATAAGAGCCAGACTTGTCTGTTGGATTAGATTTGGTTGATCGCTTTGAACTTTACCAACAATCGTCTTTAACCGAATCAGTCTTTTTCCACAAGAATTAACGCCTAAGATTATTGTCCATCATCGACCATATCAAGGTAAATCTTCTGGAATAACAACGATTTCAATAACAAGTGAAATCCGGATTTTAGGCCAAACGATTGAATCCAAAGCAGTTAAACCTAAAATATACAGAGAGGAAAGTTAATCAATGTCCCGGAAATTAGTTGCTACAATGCAATATTATTGAATCCAAATTGTGTGTTGATTGATTTGTTTACTTACTCTAATTGAAAGTGAAATTGTGAATCGATCAGAATAATGAAAGGGAAAATGAAAAGATTTATGAAATAAAATACCTTTATAATACCTTGACTATATCTTCACAATGAATTCCTTACCTTGATCATGTTTATTGAATTAAATATCTTATTCTTGAACGCCAATAATCATAATTGATCGATTTCAATTGTCAACTAATGGTGTAATAATATTTAACTTTAATTAACTTGTTCACACTTTTGTTAAACCGATGAAAGATATCAGCCTTTAACCAGAGATTAGCAGCCTGTTGAAGACAATGGTAGGTGAAAAAGTGTTCAAAGCCAAATCAAACAAACTGGTTCAACGGGTAAACATTAATATTTAACGGTCTCAATTGTCCACAACAATTTAAACAGTGACCCAACACATATACACATTTAATGGCCATTTAATCTATTTCATTTAATTGTAGTCTATTGTAAAACCAAACAATCACACCATCATTACGACCATTTAGCCTTTACTTGCCTGTATAGCGTATTTTTTTCCCTCTCAGGGTCAAGATCAGATTGAGACAGATTTACAAGGAACAGAGAAACAAATTAAAAGGAGAAAACAAAAAATAAATTCAATAATAATATTATTATTACATTAAATAGTGATATATTAAAGATGATTGTGACAAGGTAAGATAAATAACAATAGATTTAACTCCAACATAATAATAACTGTATTAAAAATAAATAAAGAGGCTGATCCTATCTTGAAGTTAGCTGTTTTATGGCTGATAAGGTGAGACTGACTAGAAGCTGAAGAAGGTGCCACAAGGAGGTTTCTCTCGTTTAAGTGGTTAATGGTTGACGCTTTATTATTATTATTATTATTTGTGAATGATAATTAATTTAACTTTTACTTTCAATTTATATTTTACAATTTCAACAAGGCGGTCCTTACGGACATTGACTGAACATGGTAACGTAATGACGCCGCTGTCTAATCTCACTCTTGAGTATTTTCGTTTTCTCTCTCGTCTGTATATAAGCTGCTTGGAAATGAGACTTTAATTCATCAGTCGTTTTTGATCAACAACAATCACATCAACTGTACTAAGTGACTTTAGTCGATTCTCCATAACATTTATATTGTGCTTTTTTACCTGTTATTTGCTGCCAACAAGGAATATCATAACTAACAAATAAAAATGAACTCAATGGTAAGTTTTATTTTTGTATAACATATCTGGTTGATTTATTTATGGATCAACTTTACTTTTACAATATCGAGTCCCTTTGTCTATCCCTTGAATTATCAACTTATTCAATAGACTTTTCAATTGAATGATTGTTATTGTTTCCTCTAATATTAACTCATTTAACTAATTATGGTTAGCTTATTGGATAATGATGATGGTAAAATTAGTGTTGCTTGAAACGGAAACATTTCGCCATCTCTTTTATCCCGCTTTTCCATCTATTGAGACCAGTTGATTTATGCAAATGGAGTAGACAAATGTAGACAAATAAAAAAACCCAAATACAGTTTCCTAAATTAAGAGAGAGGATTCATTCATTTTACATGTATTACATGAAAGCGACAGTGATGACAAGCATTTGAAGCTTGAAAACTTTTCCAGATTATTTCACTATCTTCTTGTAAAACTTCAAATTAGTTTCCAATTGCTTGTTTCAAATACTTTATCATGATTTCAATTGCTTCAATTTCGTTTTCTTTTCCAATCTATCCAAAGGTTTCATCAGTTGTCATTCTTGTCATCTCCTTCTTTGCCCTTGCCTATGCAACTGGCTATGGATATGGTCATGGCTACGGTCACGGTGGATACGGATCTGGATATGGAAGTGGAAGTGGATACGGCCATGGTGGATATGGTGGTGGATATGGTCATGGAGGCTATGGAGGTTATGGTAAGTTGAAACTGATTTGAAGCCAAAAGAATCTTGGAATTGATTGAATCTTTTTTTAGGTCATGGATCAGGCTACGGTAGTGGAGGCTATGGAGGCTATGGACACGGTGGACACGGTTACGGTTACTCATCTCACATCAAGGTATTTAGTCAAATATTAACTTCGTATTTAGCAAACTTTTCTAACATTAACTCTCTTGTTCAACTTGATAATTTAGCACCCAGCTAAGTACAGCCACGGTGGCTACAGCCATGGACTTGGAGGTTATGGTGGTGGTTATGGTAGCGGATATGGTAGCGGATATGGTCATGGTGGTCATGGTGGTTATGGTTATGGTGGTTATGATGGCCACAAATCCTACGGTGGATACGGACATTACCCAAGCTACGGAAAAGTATCATCATACTCATACTCTGGATACGGAAAATCAGCTTAAACTACTCAACGCACCGTGTTTTATAACAAATTATAAAATTATGTCCAATGATATTAGCTCAAAAGATTCTCAACCAACACCTACAAATATCATCAATTTTCATCTCTCTTTGCCTTGTTTTTTATTGTAGAAAATGGTCATTTCTTTTTAAAACTGAATCTCTTTTTAAATTGTAATTCAAATTTTTATCCATTCATCTTCAATTCCAACCACTGTATATTGTTAGATAAACTTACTTTTAATGATAATTAAAAAACGTTCGTAAATTACTAGATCGTATGATTAAATCGGTAGCGAGTAATCAAAACATGTTTACCAATATTCAGCTAAGTGAATGAAAAAATGAAACAGACAATTTCAGGAACAACATGGGAATAATCTTAACACGACTCAATGAGACGTAATTTCAAAGTCAGTATTAAACTTTTCAGGGTCCAAAATAGTCTAGTTGAATAACAAATATGTTGAATAAACCTTGAAACTCTTAGATAAGTAGCAACTGGAATCAAGGCATAAACGGTATTGTAACTAAAAAGACACAATTAACACACAAATTGAAACAAATGGACAAAAGCTTGATAAAATGAATTTCTTTAGGATTTAGACTCTGTTAGTTTGTAGAAACATAAAAACTGCGTCCATTCGTGCGATTTAAGAGTTTCTCCTATCCGCGGCTGTCGAGAAAATCGCGTTCGAATTCGAAACTTCAATTACCTTTTGTACAAATAGGGAAGGAGATTTTTCCATCAAACGCAATTTACTGATGTAACTTTTGATTGTCGACCAGAGAAATCGTTTATTTTGAGAAATAAAACTTTTCTTTTTCTGTAAAACAGATACGTTCGATTCACAGTTGAACCGACCGCATTCTATGACCGTAAGAGTTAGCGAGCTTAAACTTAATATTTGACCATGAAAATTGTTGGTTCACATCATAGTTTGAATAATTTTTTCAAGATGCCAACAGTTCTTTTGATTTTGGACATTAACCCAAAAACTTTGAGCCTCGATATTTCGAGAATAGCATTGTCTGCAATCATCATTTCTTCACCAATTTAATTCTTTACTAATCGCTAATACGATAAAATGCAACAACTTTCAATTAGTGGACTTTGGGCTTGATATTTGGATTGTATATGTGCGAGAAACAGCTTATTCAAACAACTAAACTCATATTAATGCATATCTTGGTAAATAAAGCAATTTTCTGGTTAAACTTACAAATGAAATAAAACGAGTGATGCCAAAGGCTAGAAAATTTGAGTTATGAGTTGAAACTTTGCAGGGTTTGTAGGCAAATAAAAACTGAGTCCATTGGTACTATTTAATTATGCATTCAATGAACATTTTTCGAGAAAATCGAGGTCGAAGTTGAAACTTCGCTCGCCTTTTGTACGCTTATGAAAGCAGATTTTTTCATGAAACTCATTCTAATGTGGTTAATTTTGATGGCCAACCAGAAAATGGTTTTATTGTGAGAAAAAACATTTTCCTTTTTTCGTTAAGCAACTAAGTTCGATTTTCATTCAAATCGACTTTTTTTGACAACCGTAATAGTTAGAGATCTGAAACCTGGTAATCGTCAATAAAAATGATGTGTTCACATTATGGATTGAATATTTTTTTCAATGCACCAACGGTTCTCTTGATTTGTACCATTTGTCGAAAAACTTTGAACCTCAATATTTCGGGTTTGGGAGCACTTGAGATCAGGGTTCTTTCATCAAACGGCAGATTTCTTTATAGGCTATAACAGCATATCACCAAATACTGAATCAA